GGGGGAAACATTCTTCATCTATGGCTTTTGTTGTTTACTTTCTTGGAGGATGGCAAATTTGTCTTCATGCCCACCTGCCTAGTCCTCAAACTCTGGGAATGGAGCGAAATGGGTGGCATGAGGACTGGGGCCAAATGGCTGAGGAGGCAAGTGTTGTGTGGGAATTGCTAGAGAATGCCTGTCACTGAGCCCCCTCTCACCATCCTCCAGGTAGATGGAGACCCTCAACAGGTGCACCCCAGTTGCCTGGACTCATTGGGTAGAAATAACTGGGGAAAGGCAGTCCATGAGAGAGCCAGGCTTTGTACTATATTTATTATACCACCTTTATTATTTTTATAAGCAACTCAAAGGGGAGAACATATTTAATACTCTCTCCTCCTCCTATTTTCCCCACAACAATAAACCTATGAGATGAGTTGGGCTGAGAGAGCGAGCAGCTGGCCCAAAGTCAACCTGCTGGCTTTGATGCCTAAGGTGGGACTAGAACTCCCTGTCTCCTGGTTTCTAGCTTGGTGTCTTGACCACTAGACCAAACTAGTTCTTTATATTGGACTTTAGAGGTGGCTTCTAGCATCTAGAACTTCATGCAGAAACCTACTGATTGGAATATATAAGTGAAAGAGGGAAGGCGGAGAGATAAAGCTGCAGGATAAAACTGGAAAAGACAACATTTCAGGTTTACTGTAGACATGCCTATGCAGTTTTCTTGATAGCAACATGGAATTGTTGCTAAACGTTGCTAAAACGTTTTCCTGAAATGTTTTCCCAACTTCCCAGTCTTGCCTACTATTCTTGAGATTTCCTACTGGCCTTTTTCCCAGTTCTGATCAGGACTAAAGCTGCTTCCCTTTAAGATCACCAGAGTTGATTAGTTGCTGCCCCCTGGCGCAGATAGTTGGCATAATTAAGACCTCAATGGCATAATAATAGTAACAAAATAAAAATAAAAGGAAATTTAAAATGAAAGATATTACAACATATAAAGATTGCATTTCTTTTTGGAATTTGTTTAATATCTTTGTAATTGCAGTGTGCAGCGGCAGCCAAAAAAGCAAATGCAAATTCCTAAGTTGCATTAACAGAGGGATACAATCAAGATCAAGTGAGGTACTAATACCAAGCTATAAAGCCTTAGTAAGACCACATCTAGAATACTGCATCCAGTTTTGGTCACCACATTATTAAAAGGTGTTGAGATTCTAGAAAAGGTGCAGAGAAGAGCAACCAGGATGATTAGGGAACTGGAGATTAAAACATATGAAAAACAGTTACAGGAACTGGGCATGGCTAGTCTAGTGAAGAGGAGGACCAGGGGAGACATGATAGCAGGGTTCCAATATTTGAGGGGCTGCCACAGAGAGGAAGGGGTCAAGCTATTTTCCAAGGCACCTGAAGGTCATGGTCATAAGTGTGAAAAACAGTCATACCTCCATTTTTTCAGTGCCATTGTAACTTGGAATGGTCACTAAAGGAAGTCGAGGACTACCTGTAGTATGTTTTGGAGCTTCATGCATGCAGGAGCATTCATATAAATGATATAACATGGTAATGGATTAGTATATCTCAGTATTTCACGGTCTGGACAACTTGTATGGACGTCAACTCCCAGAATTCCCCAGCCAGCATACCGGCTGGAGAATTCTGGTAGTTGAAGTTTACATCTTAAAGATGCCAAGGTTGAGAAACACTGGTATGTATTATGTGATTAAGGAATTGAGATCATATTCTTTATATTTAATACATGTATAATATTGCTTATATTTAATATAATAAGATATTTTAACTAGACATTTGTGTTTTATTTTGTTTAGTGTATTTCACCACTGTTAAAATTACTTTTTTTAAAAAAAGACTTCCTTAATACACTTTCAGCAAATTAAGATGAACACACTGCATCGATTAGTGTTTGTATGTTTATAAACAATGAAGTATACTGAAATTTCATCATTGCACACATGCTGTTAAGGATGCATGCAGGTTTTAAAAGAGCACATTATTATACTAATTTGGATTTGTTTTAATAAATAGAGCCAGTTTGATATAATGGTTAAGGTGATGGCCTAGAAACTAAGAGACCGTGTGCTTTGGTCCTGCCTTAGGCATGAAAACATATTAGGGTGGGTGACCTTAGGCCAGTCACTTTCTTTCAGCCCAATCCACCTAACAGGTTGTTGTTATGGGGAAAAGAGGAGGAGGAAAGAGTATTATGCATATTTGCCACCTCAAGTTATTTGTAAAAAATAATAAAGAGAGAGATAAAAATATCAAAAAAATTAACAGATACTATTTTTGCTTTTTAGAGTTGATAACCTCTTTGTCCTTAGCCTTACATTGCCCTCCAGTGGTTATATTGCTCTCTTTGTTGGATGTATTTTATCTTTCGATCCATATAGATCAGTGTTTCTCAAGCTTGGTAGCTTGAAGATGGGTGGACTTCAACTCCCAGAATCCCCCAGCCAGCGCTGCTGGCTGAGGGATTCTGGGAGTTGAAGTCCACCCATCTTCAAGCTACCAAGCTTGAGAAACACTGATATAGATGCATACATACTAGATGCAACGGGGAAAATATATATTATAGTGAAGTTGTTCTAAAGATCAAGATTTCTGCAACTATTAATAAGGTCACTTTTTACACTCAGAAGAGTAGCAAGTGGCATAGCAATTGTGAAAACTAATCACAGGTAGTCCTCGAATTACAACTGTTCGCTTAGTGACCATTTGAAGTTACGACGGCACTGAAAAAAATGACTTATAACCATTTTTCACATTCATGACCACTGCAGCATCCCCATGGTCATGTGATTTACATTTGGATGCTTGACAACGGACTCACATTTATGGGGTTGCAGTGACTTGGGGTCATGTGATCATCTTTTTTGCAACCTTCTAATGAGCAAAGTCAATGGGAAAGCCAGATTCACTTAACAACGGTGTTACTAATTTAACAACTGCAGTGATTCACTTAACAAACGCGGCAAGGAAAGTCATAAAATGGGGCAAAACTTACTTAACAAATTTCTCACTTAGCAACATAAATTTTGGGCTCAATTGTGGTCATAAGTTGAGGACTATCTGTAGTAGTAATTTGCTATGGAAGAGGAAAATGGTAATTGACCTTGACTTGCAGTTAAAAAAAGCCTTCTCCAAAGAGCTTTCTGGAAGCCTGGGGACTTTAACCAAAGCCTAACTTTATCACTGGGATTTCCAATGGAAAATTTTAATTAAATTTCACTTCAATTAAATTAAATTTCAAACAATCTCCAAATAGTTGTTTTTGCACTGTTTCTGCAAAATCTGCTCTGTATGACTTGAAAAATCCTCTGAAATAATAGAAGATATGATTTTCAGGTAATTTAGAGACCATATGAGCAAAATGATTATACCCTTTTCTTAAAATTGGAGTATTTTTTCATTGTATAGATATACTGTGTATACATGTACAATGACAATAAAGTTGTTGCTGTTGTTGTTATTATTATTATTATTATTATTTTAAGTGGAACTCTATTTGAAAATCTTCCTAACAATTGCATAAAAATGATAAGATGCTATCTCTTGGATTTTACAGTCACATTTCAGTCATGTTGCAAATACATGAAACATTTGTCATCTGTACTCTCAACATCATATTGCCATGAACATCAAATGCTTAAAAATGAAAGGCTAGGTGCAATTTATTTATTAAGCCTTAGAAATCTGTCTTTGACGATGGAGCCCGAGACACAAATGTGATCCTATACCAACAAATGTTTCCATAGAACTCTTCACATTATCAACCTAATTCCACATTTCGTAATTAAGTACAAAACCTCATTACAAGTTTCAGCTGGCAAAGCATGCTGACATAAGTGGCCCAGAAATATCCTTCCATTTGCAGAAAGAACTGATAAGAAGAAACTCATTGGAAGGAAACAGGAACAGAATAATTTGTGTCAATCTCTCTTTCCCATAAAACTTCTTACTCTATTATATTCTTGAGCAGTTTTCCCAACCTGGACAATTTTTAGACTGGGCGCTGTGGCCTTTAAGTTCCTGAATTCACCAGTTAGCCCAATCATTGCCAAGTGCAAGCTGTGGTCACCAATTAAACATGTCCTAATACACAATAATATTCTCAAAGAACAGAAGGTGTACAGAAAACAGCTCACTACACTAGATGCCTTCCAGCTATGTTGGGCTTCATATCTCAAAGTATCTAGCCATCCCAACCAAGGAATAGAAATTCTAGATCCCAGTATTTGAGGTACTCTTGAATAATGTAAAGATATTCCTAGGGGTGAAATCCAGCAGGTTCTGACAGGTTCTGGAGAACCGGTAGTGGAAATTTTGAGTAGTTCGGAGGTTCTCCGAACTAGCAAATACCACCTCTGGCTGGCCCAAGAGTGGGGTGGGAATGGAGATTTTGCAATATCCTTCTCCCAGGAGTGGGGAGGGAATGGTGATTTTGCAGTATCCTTTCCCTGCCACGCAGTATCCTTTCCCTGCCACGCCCACCAAGCCACACCACGCCCACAGAACCAGTAGTAAAAAAATTTGGATTTCACCACTGGGTACGCCTCAATTTAACCACCATTAGTTTACCCAAAGGTGCTTTTTTTCAAGAGGCAACTGGACTTTCTGTTTTTTCTTTGAAGACGTTTTGCTTCTCATTCAAGAAGCTTCTTCAGAGCTTGAAGAGATGGGAAGGTGTGCCCGTGGGGAAGACTTGGCGACGACATATTGCCGTATAGCCTCAGACTGCAATTGTGTCAAGTGTGATCAATAACATATTGCTGTGTTTGTGGATGCCAGATCAGACGTCTCGGGTGGAGCTGGCCACTGGAAGCACCTCAGAAAGTTCCCAGGGCTTCTCCGGACGGGCAACTGCAACAGCTAGAAAGAGGACAACTATGAGCCTGCCCTGCTCTCCTCCTGCCTCTCCCCCTTCCTGCCTGCCTCTCCCCCTTCCTCGCCCCTCGGTGTAACCTGACCCGAACTGCAAGCGCGCCAGCAAGAGAGCACCAGTTGTTGGCAGGCGGAGCCCCGCCATTCAGGCCCTGAAAGCGGCCTCTGTTAGTCTGGGCCGCCGGGGGCTCTCGCCCTCCGACCCCCGGAGAAGACGGCATGGCCCCCGGCTGGTCTTCAAGAGCTTTGTTGCTGCTCCTTCTGATGCTCGCTAGGAGCCGAGAGACGCTCGCAGGTAGGGCTCGACTTGCGCCTGCGGGCGGACAGGTGAGCGAGCGCGCGGCGACTGGACGCGCAAGAGCCCCGGGATACGTCCTCGAGCGTCTTCTCCTCCGAGATTCTTCCTGCTGGGCCGGCTACCTCTGCAAAAGGATGGGCCAGGCTGCCAGAGTTGGCGCCTGAGGCGCGGCTGTGAGTGGCTGGATTCCGCGGCGCCACCTGTGTGCCGGCGGCAGCGCTTGGAGAGGGAAGGGGCGAAGGCAGGCCGGGCGAGGGCAGAGACAGAAACAAAGCCGTCATTGGGGCCGGAGAAGGGGAGTGGGGTTCATTCCTCAGCCAAACAAAATCTAAAAGGGGAGGGGGAACCCTACTGGTTCTTTTGGACAAATGTCAGCATAACTCATTCAATTATAGTGTCCAGATGAGTGCACATCTGTGTAGACTGTAGAGAAGAACAGAACAAAATAAGAGAGTTGGAAGGAACCTTGTAGTGTATATTGGAGGTGGTGACCCTTTGAGAGCTGTATGCAAGAAAATTTCATTGTAATGTATGCTGATTAGTGTACATTCAAAGTGACAATAAAGTTTAATCTAATCTAATCTAATCTAATCTAATCTAATCTAATCTAATCTAATCTAATAATTTAATTTAATTTAATTTAATTTAATCATCTTGAAGGTCTTCTAGTCCAACCCCATGGCTCAGGCAAGAAGCCCTGGCCTATACCATTTCAGGCAAATGGTTATCCAATATCTTCTTAACTTCCAGCGTTGGAGCATTCACAACTTCTGGAGGCAAATAGTTCCACGGATTAATTGTTCTAATTGTCAGGAAATTTCTCCTTAGTTCTAGGTTGCTTCTGTCTTTGACTAGCTTCCACCCATTGCTTCTTGTTCTACCCTCAGGTGCTTTGGAGAATAGCTTGACTCCCTCTTCCTTGTGGCAGCCCCTGAGATATTGGAACACTGCTATCATGTCATCCCAGTCCTTCTTTTCATTAAACTAGACATACCCAATTCCAGCAACCGTTCTTTACTTCCATGTTGTGCTGAGCATGCGTTCTTGAGCATTGGCTCGAGCACCAGAGAGCATTTTGCACCACCTACTTAACCTGAAAATAACTCCTGTTTATTCTAGTGAGCTATGCTGAATTCTTAGCTTATGGCTTGTGGGAATCCAAGAAATTGGACTGAGCAAGCCAGAATAAGTTAACTGTTGGCAAATGTGTGCTGTGAAACAGCCTCCTGAGCCTAAATCACTGTTTGGGGATCAGAATGACAGCACCCACATAACATGCTGAACAAAACCAGACAAACACTGTGGTTTAGGTCAGCCTTTATGTCATCTTCCAGTCACCACAAACCTTGGCCTTTAATGCTTCAATGGCTTCAATTAGCATAACCAGTTGTGAGGAATGGTGGCAATTATGCTATCTTCTCAGTTGCACTATGTTTCCCCATCTTGGCAACTCAAGATGTGTGACATTTAAGATTAAGTTTATGCCTCAGTCACCTGTTTGGATTCTTACAAAGTGCCTTGCATAATGCTGCTCTTGAAGACCATTTAAAAGCTAAAATTGGTCTAGAATGCAGCAGTGTATACAGTGTTGGATGATCCTGGGTTTGCCCATGTTACACCTCTGTTGCATGAATTACAGTGATTCCCAGATAATGATGACCGGGCAGGTGGGCAGAGCCTCATGCTGCTGTCGCTACTGGTTCTCCGAACTGGTCCGAACCGGTAGCATTTCACCCCCTTTAAAACCTTATATGGGATGGCACCAGGTTATCTGCAGGAACTCACCCTGAGGTTATCTGAGGAACCTCAATCTGAGAGTATCTGCCTGTCCCACCAGTTCAAACATGGTCCCTTCCTTGAAATCTTGCCGTCTATTGGCACATTGGAAATGTGCCTTTCCATGGATGCCATTACCTAATGGAACACCCATCCCTAATGATACAGCAAGCCTCTACTCTTTTAGTCTTCTGAGAGGCTATTAAAATCTGGCTTTTAGCTCAGGTGCTGAGGTAGTATGGTTGTAGCATCCCAAAGGGATAACTGAAGCACAGGGTTGCGTTTTATATTTTATGGCTTGGTTTTATAGCTGGGGGGGGGGGGAGGCACCCAGAGTTGTTTTAAGATGGGTAGCCATACAAATGTTACAAATAAATAAAAGTCCAGCAGTTCCAAACTACCATCCCAATTGCTGAGAATTTTGGTAATTGCAAAGCAAGCTAACTCCAAATACATGCTTCATTTACAGGAGAGGCTAAAAGAGCATTAAAAAGAGAGCTCAACAGGGCAACACTATATAATACTTTGCAAAATGTGTAATTTTTTTGACCTCACCCAATTGTCACATGAACCCAGGCAAAGGCATAGCTCCTTTAAGGGCCAAAGTGAGTTCCAGTGCTGGCTTCAAAACAGATTTTCCCGTTCTATAGAATAAAATAGAATAGAATTCTTTATTGGCCAAGTGTGATTGGACACACAAGGAATTTGTCTTGGTGCATACGCTCCAAAAGACAAGATACATTCGTCAAGAATCATAAGGTACAACACTTAATGATAGTCATAGGGAACAAATAAGCAATCAAATCCTATGAGGAAACAGTCAATATAAATCTTAAGGATACCAGAACAAGGTTACAGTCATACAGTCATAAGTGGGAGGAGATGGGTGATAGGAATGATGAGAAGATTAATAATAATAGTAATGCAGATTTAGTAAGTAGTTTGACAGTGTTGAGGGAATTATTTGTTTAGCAGAGTGATGGCGTTCGGGAAAAAATTGTTCTTCTATCTAGTTGTTCTGGTGTGCAGTGCTCTATAGGGTCGTTTTGAGGGTAGGAGTTGAAACAGTTTATGTCCAGGGTGCGAGATCCAAATAACTCTAGTGGAGAAGTATAGTGCATAATGTTAATGTCAGCTAGATTTAGCTATATTTTCTTTTCTGGTAACATTAATTTCTTTGGCTTCTATTTCTTATTCCATTTTTGTGTTTCTTATGACAACCACACTGTTGGTTAATTTTTCAACGACAATCTGTTCCTAACCTGGTCTTTTAGATCTTCAAAAGGTTGCATCCATGGGTGCTTTGGTTGAGTCCATCCAGCTTGGTGCTGGTAGTCTTATTCTTCTCTTTCCTTTCACATTTTCCATCATGAGAGCCTGCTTTAGGGAGCTATGACATTGCATAAAGTGTCCAAAGATGAGCCTGGTCATTTATGCCTGTAGTGAAAACTCTGGGTGGATTTGTTTGACGATCATAACATTTACCTGCAAAAAGAATAATCTGATTGATTTGTATGCAAGACTTGGGGTACGGGATTGTTGCTAGATCTGTGGAAAGGTTTGATACTTTACTGCATGTGAAATGGTTTATTGGCCACTTGAGTTTTTCATTCAGAGAAAATTGCATTATAAGGACAGATTACTGACTGAGAGTCTAAATTAAACCATTTTAAACTTTACATTATTAAAGGCACGACTCAAAACTATTGACCTGCAGAGGATAGAAAATTTATTACCATTTTAAAAGATGAACTGCAGAATGCAAATTAGTGTTTATGTTTTGCATTTGTGTTTTCAAATCATATTTCACCAGAAGAGTCTGGAAAGAAACCAGAACCATGGAAATCAATAATTGTTTTTTTCACTTAACTCTAATAGGATTTGGATTATTCTCCTTGTGCCTGATTTATGACTACGGGCCTGTAATATGCTGAAAATGTTTTTACAGTATGTCTGTTGACAGCCTCTTCTCCCTCCCCCCCCCAAACACATTCCAGATCTGCTTCTTAAAAATTCCTGAGTTCAAATAAAAGCAAAGCACTGTGGAGTTGCATGTAGGAGCCAGTCCTAGGAAAACTGATCAACACAGCCAACTTAACCTTGGCCAGTTTAAGATGGGTGGACTTCAACATCAAGAATTCGCTAGCCAACAAGCTGGCTGGGTAATTCTAGAAGTTGAAGTCCACCTGTCTTAAAGTTACCAAGATTAAGAAACAGCAAGCTATAGAGTGAATGGCTAAAAGACCTCTGATCAGGCCTGTATCCATCTTTATCCGATATTTTGTTTCTTATCAGGTCCAACCAGTTGCCTCTGGAGCACTTACAAAAAAGGAAGGATTTCCCTTCAACTGGCATTTAGAGATATGCTGCCCTTAACTGGGCAGTAGCATTGTAGCTTAACATTAATAGCCCTTGAGAGATCTGCTGTCCATGAATTTCTCCTCTTCTTTAAAACATTCCAACTTAGTGACCATCGCACATCTTGAAATGAATGCCACGGGGTACTTAGATCTGAAGAATACATTTCTAAAATTCTTACAATCTGTTTCAGTGGATGATCTCTAGTTTTAGTAGTTAGAAAGAGAAGAAAATTTTCTCTTGGTCTACTTTTTCCAGTTCATGTATGTGTTATACAGGTAGTCCTCCAATTCTGACCACAGAGAGTCCAGAAGTTCTGTTACTAAGCAAAGCAGTTAAGTGAATTTTATGACCTTTCTTGCCATGGTTGTTAAGCAAATCACTGCAGTTATTAAGTGAATCACATGGTCGTTAAGCGAATCCAGCTTCTCCCATTGACTTTGCTGTCAGAAGCCAGCTGAAAAAGTTGAAAATGATCCCAGAACACTGCAAAATTTATGCTGGTTGCCAGGCACCTGGATTTTGATCACTTAACGGTGAGGATGCTGCAATATTTTTAAGCTTGAGGACTTAACTGTGAGGATAAGTCACTTTTTTCATTGTCATTGTCACTTCATATGGTTGCTAAACGTTATACCTCTCAGTCATGCTTCCCTTCCATCAATTTTTCCCAAGTCAAAATGCTCTATTCTTTTTTCATAGAGAAGGTATTGAAGATCATTTCCTTGTTGCACTTTCCTTTGCTCTATAATAATGTTCTCAACAAAAATGTGCATGGTAGTCCAGATGTGAATACAGCCATTTATGTGTAAGGACCTTGCAATGATGGTGTTTCCAGTTTCATTCCCTACTGATCCCTAACATAGAGAATGCCTCATTTTCACAGCTAGCTCACATTTAAGTTTCCTTCACCAAGCTATCTTCTATGAGCCCAAGGTTTTTTTCTGGTCTGTTATGAACAGCTCCATGTTATGATGGTTGAATTAACATGTCCACCAAGCCAATATGTGGTTTCCAAAACAAGCTTTACAACTTGGTGTGTTTATGGACCTAACTGATTGTGGTTTATTCAGCCAGCCACAGTTACACGGATTGTGACTTTGGTGATCAAGAGCTGCAATTAGCAGCTTTGGAGGAGCTAAAAGCTGCAGTGGTAGTAAAAGAAAATAAGCAAGGCATATGTCATACAAATGGCTAGGGCTGGAGTTTTCACTCTTCTCCCTAGTTTTTGGGAAACAATTGTGTTTTTTCTTTGTCATCAAAATCCTGGCAAACTATCAAGAGTTTAGTGGCCACGAAAAGGCATTTGGAAGCCAGATCTGTAAGCTGTCATTCTTTAGCTTGGTGATACTTCAATCACTTCGTCTGATTGTTTTCCAAGCACTGGCAAGCATTTGAATTCTGCAAATCTTTATCTATATTTTTGCATTTTTAGCATTATTGACAGCTTTTGTAACAGAGCATCAGAGAGCTTCTATATTTAGCAGGGTTTAAGAGGCCGATTCAGAAAAGTTCACTTAGTACAAAAAGGCTTATTAGCAATGTCTTCTGAGCCAGAGCAGACACTTGGAATTTTGGGAAAATGGCATCATCAAATATATGTCATTCAGAACTTATAAAACCATATGCATAAAACCTTTACTTGTGCTGGAACACAATTGGGCAATGGCAATATAAAGATTGTGAAACGTTTAGCTTATGACCTCTATTTTACATGTATAGACAGATATACTTTACAAATCTTATAACAAGATCCATACTTTTTTTTACTTTCTTAGCATATTTCTGCTCTCACTTCAAAGAGTTTTCTCATTCCTATATCTTGTTTTGGTACATTTCCCTTTTCGAGGTAAAGCATCAACATAAATAAGTCTTCAGATACATAATGTCATTGTCAACACTGTCACCGCCACCGGAACTCTGCAACTTCTCGGTCAATCTTTTCTACAGTCTCACAGAATCTGGAAGCTGATGCTCCATGTTCAGAAAAAAAATTGAGAATTATTTTATTTCAGAATGCAAGCGATAGGCATCCTTCTAGGGTGATGGAGGTTAGATCTATACTTTTAAAAAAATCTTTGTTGAACCATATGAATACAAATGTTTTCATCAGGCTAAAAGAGCCTAAAAGGGAAAATGTATGAAGTCTTGTTGGGGGAAGGGAGTTAGGTGGTGTGTCCATTTTTAATACTGTATTAAAGTGACCCAGTTGGCAGCAGCTAGATATCTTTGGTCTCCAACACCCCCCCCCCCAAATCCTAAGCAGGGTTGAATTTGGATGGAGACTAAGTGGGGGGGGGAGGGTAAACAAGCAAGTCAGTATAGCATCCCAGGCAAGACACTTCAACATCACCAAGAAAGCTATATGAATATCTCCATAAAATCACAAGGATTTGGACCTCATTTTGAGGCTTTGTCTTTATCCCTTAAGCTTTAAAGTGATCCCCTCCCCCACATTAAAAAATGCAGTGCAGTGCTCCACAAGATTGTTTTGGTGCAACAATCTCGCCGTATGTTGTGGATTTCCTGAACAAAAGACAGCCCTCATCATTTGAACAAAAACCCTTGATGATATATGTCCGTACAAGAAAACTCTATATGTTTCATTTTTTATTTGCAATAACCAGGCTGATGTCTGTTAAAAAGAAATTAAAAGGAGAATTAGAGCATCCTTCCATACCAATGGATGGTCTGAAAAACATAATTAGGTCTTATGGCTGGCATCATTGTAACCTATTAGCCCAGTTTATATGTTTGCCTTCTCATGAATAGGACTAAAACTTGGGATGTGGGCGCACATACGAGTGGTAAATTGGGCTGCTTGAAAACATTGTCATGAGTTAAGTATGAAATGTGCAGGGGAAATATTTATTTGACTCGAACACTGCCTGATTCCTATTGACTCTGGGCAGCTCACAGAATAAAACAATGTGCAATCCAGATAAAAAACAATAGAGCAAGATGGCGAATCCGGCCAACAGCAACATACATAGTGGCTCCAACCACTCCAGCCTAAAGCCTGGGAAAACAGCCAGGTCTTTCAGGTTTCTGGAATGCTATCGGCCAGATCTCGGGAGGAACCTCATTCCAGAAGGCAGGCACTGTGACAGAGAAGCCATGCTTATGGGGGCTATTCAGGGTTTTATAGATCTTAACCAGCATTTTGAATCATACCCAGAAGCAAAGTGGCAACCCAGCTTACAAAACAGGGGTGTTGCATAGACATATTGAGGAATACCTGTCACTGCGCTCACTGCTCCATTCTGGATCAGTTGAAGCTTCCGAGTTGTCTTCAAGGGCAGCCCCATGCATACTATGTTGTAGTAGTTGAACCACAAGATGATTATGGCATAAGTGCCTGTCTGAAGGAACTCTTGATCTAAGAAATGTTGTAACTGGTGCACCAGATGAAGCTATGTATTCCTGGCCGCAACTGCTTCCTACTCAAGAGCAAGAATTGTGACCAAATACTTTATTTATGTAATTTTGATAAACTATTTGTATCATGAAGTTACAATAACTTACTTTGCTTTTTAGCATCATTTTATGGTGAAAGCTACATACAATTAAAGGTTGCTGAAACGCTGTCTGAAATATCACTGAAATTACGTTTTCAGACAAGTAGACCTGATGGATTGCTTTTTCTTGCTCCTGGAAAGGAAGATTATTTTTTGGTGGAATTAAATTCTGGAAATATACAGGTAAGATTATAAAATTTGCATAGGTAATTTATGCTAGATCTGATCCTGCTCCTACTCTCTTTTTAACAGCTAAATATATTTATAGTTCATGCAAGCCTCATTTGGTTTATGTTATCCCCACAGCATTGCCCTGCTGCTATGTGCAGATGACCTTGTAGTTCTTTTCAGAACACTAATAGGCCTTAAAAGAGCTCCGAGAACTTTGGTCCAATACTGAATCAATGATCATCAGAAAACCAAGATTATGGCTTTTGCCAAAAAACTCAGAAGCTTCATTTATGGACCATTAATGGCCATAGAATAGAACAAATGACTTTATGTATTTAAGACTAATCATGCATTCCACTAAGATCTGCCAATGCTATCTTCAAATTTTTGGATTTAAGAGAGGGTATTATGTACAAGCTGTGGTTAAGTTCTTTCAGACTAAACTGTTAACAATAGCAATAGGACTTAGACTAATATACTGCTTCATAGTGCTTTACAGTCCTCTCTAAGCAGTTTTCAGAGTCAGCATATTACCCCCAACAATCTGGGTCCTCATTATACCGACCTCAGAAGGATGGAAGGCTGAGACAACCTTAAGCCTGGTGAAATTTGAACTGCCATATTACAGGCAGCTGGCAGTCAGCAGAAGTAGCGTGCAGTACTGCATTCTAACCACTGCACCACCTCAGCTCTTAGCCCAGCATTTCTATTGGATTCTGGTTGACTCCCCAGTTTCTTGTTTCACTTGGAGAGGGTGCAATCTAATTCATTAGAGCAGCCCTCCTATCTTGCTGTGTCTCAAACACAGCCTGGAGACAGGTATTATAGAAGTTGAGTCAAGATTGTGTCTAGCTTCTTATAAATTTTTGATTAAAGCTTAAATTCCGTCTTCAAGAACTAGCACTGTTATTTCTTCAGGATAATTTTCAATCCACATGGATCAAGGCTGTTGAATCTAATTTTTTAAATCTAGGCTACTCTCCCTCTTCAGGTCTTAAAATGGAATATGATCAGACGAAACAAATCTGGAAGCAAAGGATAAAGGATAGGGAGCAGCAAGCAGATCTAGGAAGACAGACCCTGTCTTCCTGTACCAGTACACATCAGATATATTGGCAATGCTGCCAACTAGGAACACCCAGCTTTCTCTCTTGCCCAATGTCATGCTTTGCCCTCTGCAGTATTGGATGGTAAATATAAAAAAGTATCATTGCTTGAAGGGGTCAGTGCTTGTGATTCCAGAGAGATGGAAACTACAGAACATCTTCTTCTTCATTGCTGCTTTTATAGAAACATTTGAACCAGATTCATCCTACCTTTGATTAGTAGATATGCTGGTTGCCCAGACTCAGCCCATGCCCAGGTGCTGCTCACGAACTGCCTTTTTTTTACAGTGCATGTAGCTCTGTTTTGTGCAATGACAAGAAGACATATCAGACCCTCATAAGTAAATTTTTCACAATGTTTTCTATTTAACGGTAATTCATTTAAATTATAGATATCACTTTGTTGTAATTTTAGATGTTATCACATTAATATAATTTTAATGTTTGTATTATAATATATAATGTAATTACATATTATATATAATGTAAATATATAATATATAATGTAATATAATAATAATATATAATATATAATAATGGCTGTATTTGTAAGACCTAACTAACTAATGATTAGACATATGTTCCATTTTGGTTTTGAACAAATTAAAATCACACCTGAACTAAGTGGCTGTTGTATAGATTGCCTATCTGGATTAAATATGATTATGGATCCGATTATTTTGCTTACTGCCTATTTGGTTTATTGTTTGGGGTTTACTTTGATGTATCAACCTTGCTATAATGGTTTAGTATTATGTATGAATAAAAAAAATGTGACTTATTCAACAAACCATGGTTTAAAACTGTGGTTTGGTCCTAGCTTTTTTGAATTAACATTATACCACGTTTTTGAGTTTGGGTGAAATGGAAAATGATAGTTTATTCTGCATTCAGAATTATATTTTATATTTTCTCTGTCCCTCAGTAATTTGATGTATGCAATTCTTTTGAATAGTTTTGAACATATTCTCATTGTTTTCTTTGGATGATTCAAACTCCTCTTTTACAGGTGAAGATCAACTTTCGAACAAATGAACAGATCCTTCGTTCCCAGTTGCACTCACAACTTGATGATTTAGAGTGGCATCTTCTTGAAATTCATCATGAAAGAGAAAATATTACTCTAGTGATTGATAAAAATTATCAAACTAGTGCAATAGTGCCACATTCCCTAGTATTTGAACTAAACATTGAATATGGTCTCTATATTGGTGGGAGAGGTGCCCTTGATGTCCACTATCTTAACAGTACACCAATTAATTTCCGAGGATGTATTAATGATGTGATACTTAACAACCATGATATCTTAACTTCCCTGAAATCTTCTGTAAGAAATAAAAACATTTACGAAGTATCACTGAGCTGTAGCAATGAATTTTTTGCAGGGGAAGAAGAACCCATAAGTTTTTTTAGTTCCAAATCCTATGTTTCATTTCCTCTTTGGAATGTCCAAGCAGGAGGCGTTTTGGAATATTCAGTGCAAACTACAGCTCAGAGGGGATTGCTGATCTACAGTTCTGGTCCCGTAGGAAACTTTGTTGCAATGGAAATTGAAAATGGTCTCATTAGAGCTCACATTAGAATGGGTAAAAATAGACTTGAACTTTCTTCTCTTAGCCCTGTCAACGATAACCAATGGCATGTTATCAGATTAAAATTTTCCATAAAATATGTCGAACTCACTCTAGAAAAGAAAACTGTGAAAACTCCATTGCCTTCTCATAGTAGGCTTCCTGTCCTTAAAGGGGCCTTATATGTGGGTGGAATAAATGATGCACTCCGTGCAGAAGTGCTAAAATACGGGTTAGCTTCAGTTTCTGGAAGATACGGAGAAGGCGGATCTTTCAGAGGCTGCTTAAAGGATTTGATAATTGGTTCCCAAAAATATTCCTTGAAAAATGTTCTAGTGACTAAGGATATTTCAGTCGGATGCACAATACCTAATTTTGCACCAGAAAAGCAGGCTGTGAGAATAGCCTCTTCCATTTCTGTTGCTGCTACTGTTGCTCCTAAATTGCTTAGGAAAGAAAGTTATGACCATTTTTTGTTTGTCAACAACTTGATTGTGCCAGAAGGTGGGCAAGCATTTCTTGGATCTAAGCACATTAAAGTCAGTGTGGACTTCAAAGCACTGGGGATTCGTCAGTCACAAATTCTTTTTAGAATTAAACATCCCCCTTCTTATGGCCAGTTGAGGTTGAATGTTGTGTCAAAGCAAGAAAACTTCACATTTAGTATGCTAGATTTGTGGCAAGGTAAAGTTTTATACATTCATGATGGTTCTGAAGAAAGCTATGATTATTTCACTTTCTCTGTTTCTACAAGCAGTAAAAGGAAGATGCCTCTGTATCTCCAAGGAAATGATGAATATATGTTTACTATTACAGTGAGACCAATCAATGATGCTCCAGAACTCATATTTCCAAATGGAAACTTACTTCTTCTCTTAGAACACTCCAAGAAATGCCTGAGCATAGATTCAGTAAATATTGTGGACAACGACACAAGTGTTGCAGATCTTAGTATTACAGTCCTTGGAAATTCAAACACAGATGCAGGTTTTCTAGAAAATTCCAAGACTCCTGGGCAAACAATTACTACCTTTTCCTATGAGGATTTACAACATGGTAATGTTTTCTTTGTCCATACTGGAGTTCAGAATTCCAGGATTGTTCTGCGAGCAAGCGATGGGGAGAAAGTTAGCAACACAGTCGTGTTGCGTGTCATGGCTGTACCCCTGGATTATAAATTAGTCAACAACACGGGAGTTGATGTGGTGCAAGGCACCACAGTGTTGATAACACTCAAACATTTGGCCACAGAAACAAATGCTTTTCAACAAGAGCTGGAGATAAGATATGAAATCACAGAAGAACCCTTTTTTGGAGAAATTCAGAGGAGGCTTACTGGTCGAGAATGGAAAAAAATTAATTATTTTTCTCAACGATCCATTGAACGTGGTCGTGTGAGGTATCTTTCTACCTTCAAAGCAATTCAGCAAGATAATGTCCACGAACATTTTAAATTTAAAATTATCATCGGTAGCAATATAAGCCAAGAGTTTCTGTTTGCTGTTAGAGTAAAATGGTTGACTTATAATTTACTGAAATATGCACCATTAGTTATTGATAAATCGGATAGAGAGTATCTTAATTCTAATAACCTTCTTGCGGTCATACCACAGATAGACCTGTCAGAAAATGAATTTCTTTACAAGCTGCAATCCTTGCCTGAGAAAGGAAGAATTCTGCTTGATAATGTTCCACTGCAAATAAATTCCAGCTTCAGCCAACAGAATATTTCTGATTGTAAAGTAGAATATCAATTATACAGGAAGTCCCACGAAGAAAGTCTGGATTCATTTAGATTCTTCATTAGTACCCAGTATGTGGTATCAGATATCTATGATTTCAAAATCAAGATCAAAACAAACCCACAAACCATTATTTTGATAAACAATGGTCTTACTGTTCCTGAAGGTGAAGGATCACTGATAACAAAATCAGAATTGTTTGTACAGACCTTCAGTAATACGACTTTTGAGTATAAGGTTACAAAAAGTCCTCAACATGGGAAATTAATGCTTATTAATTTTTCTGATTCCCCAGAAAGTAACAACAATCTTAGTAGTTTCACTAATCAGGATATATATGGAGAACGTCTTATGTATATTCATGATGACTCAGAGACGCAGTGCGATGAAATCCATATCACTGCAACTGCCATAAAATTTGGAGAAGAAGATTTAGATACAGAGTTCCCATTATTAGTAGAGATCAAATTTAATATTTCTATCCACCTGAAAAATGATGAAAAACCAATTAGAGTAGTGGATAAGGTATTTCATGTTGTTAAGAATGGAAGGAAACTCTTGACTTTGGATGATCTTTGCTATCATGACCCTGATACGGATTTTGATGATAATCAGTTGTTATACACCAGGCGTGGCATTCCTAATGGAGACTTGGTTCTTGTCAATGAAACATCATATAGACTCTATCAGTTCAAGCAAGAGGACCTTATACAAAAGCAAGTCCTCTTTGTTCATCGAGGTGCAACTTACGGTCGTTTTGTGCTATTTGTAACTGATGGAAAACATTATACATCATCTTTGCTAGAAGTAAGTGCTTCTGAACCATATGTCCTTCTAGCAAACAATACAGGATTATTGATCCAAAAAGGAAAAGAAGCAGTTATTACCACAACTAACCTGAGTGCTACCACAAATCAAGATATTAGAAGTGATCATGAAATTAGATTTGAGATATTTTTTTCCCCAAAGTATGGACAAATCTTTGTTAATAATTTAGCACTGGCCACTTTTACTCAGCATGATCTCAAAATGGAACATGTGACTTATAGACATGATGATAGCAATAATTTGATTGACACATTGAACTTCACTGTTTATGCTAAAGAACTCCACTTGTATGCTAAAATGAACATTCAGATATATTTGGAAAGCCATCAGCGTCCACCAGTGATCCTACATAACCACAGCCTTTTGGTTGAAGAAGGGAAACCTGTTCAAATCAGTAATGGAAAATTGCTGGTAAGATGAAGTTATCTAGTAATTTATAGCAAATGTTTTAAATAGTTTTTGTATCATGTTTCCTTGATTTCAGTAAAAGATTTCAGTAAATTTCTTCATTTGAACCATTGGAAGAGCATCTGTGTATTTTCTTTTCCTTAACTTTTTTTAATGAATATGTTTTACTTTACTGGAATTATATTATATTGTTTAATGTATTGTTTATTATTTACTTTATTTCTGATTCTATTGAAAGCTATTTTTGAGATTCTTCAATCTAAGGAGCAGTATATAAATATATTTACCGAATGTATTTGATTAATAATATTCAAGTCATTAAGATGCTTCTATTTGTGATCAAACTATCAGGCAGAAAACAATGCTTTAATCAAGCGACTTCCAATGTGGAAATAAGCAGCAAACTCCACGCTCACTTGCACTGATCATATTACCTAGTTGGTAATGAAATATTTGTAAGCAAACTCAGAGACCACCAGGAAATCTTTTAAACTTATTTTTTTAAACCCCTTATTTAATAGTAAAGGTTTTGTGTGCTTCCCATCTCAAAATGACAAACCATGCTGCCAATGTTTGGTAGTGGTGTCACAGAACGCGAGGTGGAACATGCAAAAAAGACACATAGGTAGACAGATGGAGAGATTGAAAGAGTTTGGAGCAGAGATGGGTTTCAGCAGGTTCTGACCAGTTCTGGAGAAACTTTGAGTAGATCGGAGAACTGGTAAATACCACCTCTGACTGGCCCCGCCCCCATCTATTCTCTATCTCCTGACTCGTAGCTGATCGGGAGGAAATGGGGATTTTGCAGTAACCTTCTCCTGGATTGGGTAGGGAATGGAGATTTTATAGTATCCTTCCCCTGCCACGCCCACCATGCCACGCCCACCAAGCCACACCAACAGAACCAGTAGTAAAAAATGTTGAAACCTAACACTGGTTTAGAGGCCATCTATACCTGTAGGGACATAGCTAAATCATCAGAATGTTCAGTGCTGTTGTTATATTTTAAATATAAAGAGCCGTATTTAGAAAAACAGCGCTTATCTTTATGTCCTTAATGACCTGGTCTTATATTTTTTTTAAGGCTGTGCATGACAACAGCTTGCCATCAGAGATAGAATTCAAAATAAGATCATCTCCAGTCTATGGCTATCTTTGGAAGTTTATATCAAAAGAAAATTACCTTGGAGCAGAAAAAAATCCAGTTTTGTCTTTTACTCAACAAGACATCAATGATGGTATTATCCAGTACATACAGACCATCTCCAACCAACTCCAAGACCACTTTTCCTTGGATGTCACCAATGGCATCCAGACAGTCAGTGGAATAGAAATTACTGTGGACATCATTCCAAAGCTGATCCCACTAGAAGTACACAACTTTACAGTTGCTGAAGGGAGTTCAAAAGTCCTTGAAGAAGATATTCTAAAAATTTCTAATAGCCGCTTTGCAGAAGTTAATTGTGACTTCAGTCTAGCTGAGTCACCAAAACATGGACGAATTGCAAACTCTCATTTTTTTGGAATGGCATTGACTAAATTTACCAGAAAACAGGTAAAGTTATTATAAATATGTTTCTGGCTTTAATTTTATCATTAGATTTTGAAATCATATATCAGAGAACAATTAAAACTTCTTGAGCTTTCCTATTTTTGGACTTCAGGCTTCAAAAACCTCCCTATTTTTGGAAAACTGTACAGTCTCCACCATTGTATATAATATAGCAGGTAATTCAAAGAGAAAAATAACGTGCTTAGATTAAATAACACTAGTCCAACAACTGAAATGATTACATGCTTATGGTTTAATTTTTTAAAGTGGATGCATTTTAAATTTTGTGACTTTCCTTTTTTAGGTAGAACAAGGTTTGATCTTCTATGTTCATGATGACAGTGAACAGCTGCTTGACAATTTTACCATTATTGCAAACTGCACACAACTATGGAAGCATAGCTTGCCTCAGATCATATTTGTGACTATTACACCAGTAAATGATGAAGCTCCCATCATAAAGAGAAATATAGCACTCCGGGTATGTCCTGAGGAATTCAAGATCTAAATGTTTAACTGGTAATACATGATGGTCTTCTGTTTGTAACAGGTGAAGTGCAAATAGAAAAACAAAGGTAATCAACACATTACTAGAAATATCTCATATATCTGAAAAATAGCACTTGTCTCTGGGTTATCTGTCCTATATGAATAGCCATTGATTATCTAGAACAGCAGTTCTCAAACATTTTGATCTCAGGATTTACATTCTTAAAAATGATTGAGGGGTTCCAAAGTCCTGGAAGAAGATATTCAAAAATGGGAGGATTTAATTGGGACTATAGTTGAGCCTCCGTAATATGAATGTTACTGTTAATTTCTTGGAGTGGCATTGAATAAATTTATCAGGAAAGAAGTGAAGTTACTTTAAATTCATAGAACATTGCTTTACATCTATCAATATTAACTATATTGGAAATGGAGACTGAGAAATTTTAAAATATTTGAGTTTGTAGACCCCTTGAAAGGTACTCAGGGAGTCTGAAGAATCCACAGATCACATTGTGAGAACTGCTGTTCTAGGGTATATTTTTCCCCATTCAGATTATGCCCAAATCTCAGAGACCACCTGGAGAAGTCCCTGCAGTTTTCTTGGCAAGTTTTTTCAGAAGTGGTTTTGCTATTGCCTTCCTAGGGTGGAGAGAATGTGACTGGCCCAAGGTCACCCAGATGGATTTGTGCCTAAGATAGACTAGATAGTATCCTGTTTTCTAGCCTGATGCCACTACACCAAATTGGCTCTCTCAAGAGGTTATACCAATGTTTAAAACATCTGGACCAGGGGTGAAATGCTTCCGGTTCAGACCAAATCGCCCGATCTAGTAGCGATGGCAGCAGGTGGTTCGGAGAACCAGTAGCAAAAATCCCTGCCCCCACCCCCCATGCCCAGCTGAGCTGCGCAATCATCAGAGGCTTTTTTTTTAATTTTTAAAAGCATTTTTTCTACAACCTCTTCGGCCGAAAAAATGCTTTTAAAAGTAAAAAAAAAAAAACCCTGATGATCATGCGGCTCAGCTGGGATCATCAGAGGTTTTTAAAAGCATTTTTTTTACAACCTCTTCGGCCGAAGAGGTTATAGAAAAAATGGTTTTAAAAGTTAAAAAAAAAAAAAAGTTGGCCACGCCCACTCAGTCACATTACCTCCTACCAAGCCACGCCCACAGAACCGGTAGTAACAAATTTTACATTTCGCCACTGATCTGGACAGTTTTCACGTTTACTACTGTTGAATTTAAAAGAAATCCAGGGGACAGCAAAAAAGACAAGGCCGACAAGTAATGCATTTTCATTGTGTCCTTGATTTATTTTTAATGCTCATATTCCAACTCTGTGCTGTTATTGCTAGAATATAGTTGGTCTTGTTTAAAATAAGTTAATAACCGGATTAAATGATGAGAAATTATTAATTTGAACAAGTATGTTGCAAAGGGGCAGAATTATCTCTCCATCTCTACACTGGAATGCTTGAAAGTTGATTTTTCACATAATATGTATCTGGAAACATTGCATCCCTTTATTATATTCAAGAATTGCCCCTTGATTGGTAATTCAGTCAATTAATTCATAGAATCATAGGGCTGAAAAAGACCTTGGAGGTCTTCTTGTCCAACCTCCTGCCCAAGGCAGTAGATCTTATTGCATCCTGAAACGGTTGTCCAATCTTTTCTTGAAGCTCTCCAGCATTGGAGTCTTCATTACCTGTCTTAAAAAAAAAAAAAACCAGGTACATACAATTTTGAGCCTATTTGGAACTTTCCAACATTTGCAAATAACTTCAATCAGAGTTCTGAATGAGAAGGTACAAATGAAATGGGAGCAGTTTTCCACATTGCTATGTTGTCTCCACATTATCTATACATAAACCTCAGTAACTAAAATTTTTACGTCAATTATTACGGTAAACGTTCTTCTCCCCCTCTCCTTTTTTAAATTAAATTTAAATTAAAGTCCTTAGCATTAGTTTCTTCATTTTTTTTTCTACTGCTTTCTTTTCCTCCTGATTGTCATAGGAGTAATAGGTTAGTGTATAAGTTTCCTCTGGAATTCTTTCCAAATTGTACCGACTGCTTTCTGATAGCGTGAAGTATCTATGCCTCAGCCAAACCCCATTATCCTTGTCCAGACTAGTTGGGACTAATAGAGGACAATATTAACAATTATTAAGTTCCTTTCATGGGTTACAGGATTAACTAGCCCATTGGTGTGTGAAACAAATTCTTATTGACTTTTTCTTTTTGTATCTATTTACCTGGGTAGGTATTTTGAAGTTATTTTTCAAAAAATATCCTTAGGCATTAAATTGTTAAGGAGATAACTATCCAATGTCTTTTAGTCACAGATATACTAACATTAGTTATCTCTTATTTTTTTTTAGTAAAGATCCTCCTTTACTCCAAATTTTAAAAATGAGGAAAAGTAGTTGTATTTTTAGATGGCATGATTTTTAGCGCAAGTACTGCAGTGTAACCAGAAGGGGGAGATCCGTTTTCAATTTTATGGAAGTTTCCCCATTTTATCAAAAACATTATTAAGCATTGTGTTCATTTTAGTAATGAAGATCAGAGTGTGATCCTTAGAAACATGCGTAAAAGGGGGGGGAAAAATCTCAGAGCTGTGGATTTGCTAATATTAACATTTCAAAATGAAAGTATGAAATGGAAAAGCTAAATAAAAAAGTTTATACATCTGGGCCAAATATTTGGTGTTCTCAAATCTTATCAAGAAAAATCCTGTAATAGTGGAGAATATGCGAGACAAAATTAGGATAAATGAAAATAAAATGTGTTCTTAAACAGATAATACATTATAAAGATAGGATAGCATACAATGTGAATATTTTCAGTATGTCAGTGATGCTAAATCATTTTTTTCTTTTCCAAGCTGCTTCCTGAGATCTTCTGTTGGCAAAGTAAGCTCTGTTTTTATTTTGGAAGGATTCAGTATATAAAGATTTCTTGTACACACTAATGTATTTTTTTCACTTTTATTTGATTGTCAGTAGGGGTGGGTTGTACTTACTTTTACTACCAGTTTGCAATCATGCGCATGCATGCCTCTGTGCATGCGCAGAAGCTTCCTGATGACATCCGGTTCGGTGGGTGGAGCCTCCTGCCGGTTTTACTACCAGTTCTTACGAACCGGTCCGAACCGGGGGCAACCCACCACTGATTGTCAGTTTCTGAAGGTGGTAATATTTTTTTTCAAATCCAATTTGAATCTCTTTAATGCACCTAAGGAACATTAACAGGTAGTCCTCGATGTACGACCACAATTGAGCCCAAAATTTATGTTGCTAAATGAGATAGTTGTTAAGTGAATTTTACCCCATATTATCACCTTTCTTGCCACATTAAGTGAATCACTGCAGTTGTTAAGTTAGTAACACGGTTGTTAAGTGAATTTGGCTTCCCCCTTGACTTTGCTTGTCAGACAGTCGTAAAAGGTGATCACGTGATCCTGGAACACTGCAACCGTTATAAATATGAGATCAGATGCCAAGATACCTGAATTTTGATCACGTGACCTTTGAGATGCTGCAACGATTGTAAGTGTGAGAAACGGTCTTAAGTCACTCTTTGTCACTTCGAATGGTTGCTAAATGAACGATTGTAAGTCTACCTGTATGTGATATTGCAGTAATCCATAAAAAAGCACAACTGTATAACTTGTGCTTATTTTGAAAGATTCAGGCAATACTCTTAAGCTTCAATACTCAAGTAGATCAGCTTAACCGAAGCTCAGGGCTGGAGGAATATCCTTTACTTCACCATCATTTTCAGAAAGTTTATGGCCTGGGCTGGGATGAAGTTAGTCATTGCAATTGGGATTTAGTCATCTCAGATCTTGATTTCAGAGGGACCAAAGCATGACTCATTACTTCTGAAAGCAGCCTTCCTTGATGATGAGATGGGGAAAATGCAGCATTCTCACATTATGACAATTTTTTCCCTTAAATCATTGATAAATGTCGTGGGAGGGGTTGCACAGATATAATTATTTTGGTTTATAATTTAGCTTTGTTTAGAACTTGCATATATCATTTTTTCCCGTGGCTCTTTGAAAAACTTAAATTGGATTTTAAATGGATTTCCATCTCTTTGTGTCTCTGGGTACAAGTACTGCCTAATGCTGAGTAAGATGCTCTTAAGGGATCAAATGTAGCCACTGAAAAGTCTTTAGGAAGGTCAACATCCGTAACATGCGACTTAAAGAAAAAATATTCAATAAGAGAATAACATTTGTTAAGCTTCGTTTTCCATACGTGCATTACATGAAACATTTTTGCAGTTTCAAATTTGACGTAATTTAATGGCAAGGAAATGGTAAAAACCTAGCACATGAGTCATCTTTCTAAAGAACAATCATGTGGAATCCACAGTGCTGACATATTGCTCTCGCTAGGTTATCCCTCCCTTCACATCTGTCTGTGTAACCACAGAGCAGGCAAACTACCATATGCAGCCTATAGGACAGTGATGGCTAACCTTTTCTGGACTGAGTGCCAAAGCGTGCAAGCGCGTTCATGAACCCCCAAAATGCAAAGTGCACGCGGCCCCCACGCATGCACCCCAGCTCCCCTGCATACGCATGCACACACACATGCATGCATGCATGGGGCCCCCGCATGAGCCCTGCCCCTTCCCATGCGTGGCAGAGATGGGAGGCGCTGCGTGCATGTGCAGTGGAGCTGAGCTGGGGCAAGAGCTCGTGTGCCCACAGAGAGGGAGCTGCATGCCACCTCTGGCACGCGTGCCATAGGCTCACCATCACTGCTATAGGACCTTGGTTCAATACTTTCAGTGGTTCTTATGATCATGGTAATTGGGAATAAGTTATTTTTCTGCAGTGTGCTTCATTCATTCTCTACTACAATGTACTGTATGTTTTAATTCAGAAAAAATGCAAACAGAACCTCTAAAAAGGCAAAAATTTGTTTTCTGCTTCAGTTAGTAATCTCGTTCTGTCACAAGGCTCCATCATGGACAGCTCTTTTAAAAGCATTTTTGGTTAAAACGTGTTGTTAAATGATTTATGATAGAGCCAACAAACCACTACCAAAGGGTTGGAGTACTTCCTTCCCTCCTATCTTTTCTATTAATAATCAGATTACTATAATAGTGTTTTGTTGATTAATTGCACATACACGCATGGATAGATACCCATCACATTATCACCTTTTCTGGGCATACAACATGGTGTGACAGAAGTGAGAAAAAGTCAAAGAAATTAAAGCCAGGAAATAAGGAAACATAGTTAAATCTAATTTACACCAAAGCCGTTCACTATAATGCTCCATATCTTTCTATGCTTGCAAATCAGCCTTCTCCCAACATGTTAATATATTATTGCCTTTTGATATTTAAAATTCTGACAGTTCCATTTTAAAGGAACTATTTCTAGGAATTCCTTTCCCTAGGAATAACCATCAGGTCCATCTAACTTTCTAACTACGACATTCTCAGGCTTCCCCTTGACATACCTACTTATTGATTTTGATTTTATTTCTATGGTCAACCATCTCAGCAAACAACTCTGGACTGCTCACAATTCAAAATGTGATAAATTTTGGATGCAAAATTCAGGTGGTTGTTTTGTGTCCAGTCCTTGTTCTTGTTTGTATTCAGTCTACATCAGTGGTGAAATCCAAATTTTTTTACTACCAGTTCTGTAGGAGTAGCTTGGTGGGCGTGGTGTGGCTTGGTGGGCATGGCAGGAAAAGGATATTGCAAAATCTCCATTCCCACCCTACTCCAGGGGAAGGATACTGCAGAATCCCCATTCCCACTCCACTCTGGGGCCAGCCAGAGCTAGTATTTGCCGGTTCTCCGAACTACTCAAAATTTCCGCTACCGGTTCTCCAGAACCTGTCAGAACCTGTTGGATTTCACCCCTGGTCTACATTCATTCAACACTCACTCATTCATGACATTACCTTTTCATGTTTTACCAAATGCACATCTGTTTGCAATGCAATCTTCTTTTATGTTTTTCCTGATATACCAATCTCTCACTGTCAAAGTAGACAGAAGTATACTCTTTATATAACCGTCTTTTCATCCAAGGCCACATACAACTCATCACTTTTCTGTCAGTGTTTACACTTCTTAAACCATCTATATATGTTTCCTCACCTAACAATGTTGAGTACAGTTGCAAAAATTTCACTTTTATTACCATTTAACTCCTTATTTGCATGAACAGGTTTTTCCACAATATAATTGTGCCCAACGCTTTCCCAGGTGTACTTACAAACTAATCCTCAGTAGCTTTTGCATTCATTCTTATTATCTTTCTGTTCGTAGAGTGAAACAGTAATACATTTCTTCCAATTGTCTACTACAGCCATCAGATACACATTGAACAAGTCATTTGCCAATCCCCAAATTTCAATCTCATGACCATGGGGGTGGTGTGACGGTCATAAGTGCAAGTACAAGATTTAAATCCCATTTTTTGAGGCCATCGTAACTTTGAGCCGTCATTAAATGAACAGTTGTAAGTGGAGGACTACCTGTGCATATTTTTTCCCCTTGTTTACAGCTTCATTATGTCATTGAACATTTTTTTTTACTTTGTTCCACATAACCTCCACAATACCGTATCTACTTATTTTGTTGGGAAATTAATTTTTTTCCCCTCATATATTCCGTAGTTGCAGTAATTATTTTTTCATTCTTGTTTTTTGCACTTTGTTTTTGTTTTTCTTCCACATCTTTCTATTCTCCCAAGATCCTTTTGATTATTTTTTTTTACATTATTGCGGGGAAATAATCTGTCCAATCTTCAGAATTTTTCATCAACATTTCTTTTACTAATTTTCTGTCTTTCATCAAAAGCAATCAAATCAAACATGCTTTTAGATATATTTCCTTTCCTTGTATATGTGAATAGATTTAAATATATGACCATACTTTGTATGTGTGAGTAGTTTTATGTGTAAACTAAGCTCCTCAGGAATCCAGATAAGCGAAGTTGAGGATATGAGACTTAGGTTTATGCATATATGGGAAAGAAAAAGAGCTTTTAGCAGTCATCTAAATTTGTTCACAAATTTGTTCCAGCTGACGAACCAGTGTTTGGCGAATAGAGGAGTATCAGGAAATATAGAAATTTAGATAACTTAATGCATACTTAGTCAGATCTTATCCAATTGAATTGTCTATGAATATTTAAATAAAGGGTAGAAGCATGGAATATAAACATAGGGAGGAAACCTTGCTGAATTGTCCTGAAATTCTGATACAGAGGAATTCTGTTACAGCAAAAACATTAAAGAGACTGGAAAAGTTACGTGTGTGTGTGTGTGTGTGTGTGTGTGTGTGTGTGTAGGTGTGTGCAAACATGCTTACAATATCCGGTGGCTATCTGAAAGTTGCAGTAGGATGTCCAAGATATTATGACTTTTGGGCACCCTTCCAAATTCTTTTAGCCTGGCGTCTTTCTCTCTTTTGAGCCAGGTCAGCAAAAGGCAGCTAAGTGTTGACATCAGTTTAGCCCAGTTACTTCTCCATTTGTTTTAATCATAGATCCCATCTGTACTTCAAAGTGCAAGGAAGTACTGATACTATTGAGACAGGTACTGAGACAACAGAGCTATTTCAGTGATCTCAGATATCTTCATTCATATTTGTATGCTCGCAGGCTATGCAATTCCATGCCGTGTTTCTTTAGATATGAATTAATGCAGGATGTGGTTTGATATTTAGTTGAAGTCTTTTGAAATGAGTTTTAAATGCAACAGTGGGATGGGTAGGTTTCAGTCTTGTCAGATGTTTTTTTTAAATTGCCCACTGATGTACTAATCATAGTCAGATGCAAACTTAACATCAAAGAACAAGGTGCCTCCGAGACCAGAGATTTATTCTGTGTGCCAGAACTGAACTATGTTCACGAGCCTTTCACACAAGGGCCCAATCATTGTGTGCTTGCTTTATTTTAATAATCTAATTTAGTTGGATGCTATTGTTGTTATTACAGTAATAAACTCTTATTGATTAGCTACAGAGCAGATACTGTAACTTGTTTTCTCTAAGATCTGGACATAGTTCCCAATACCTAGAATCAGCAAGTTGTTTTTATAGTTCAAAACATCTAGTGGACCCCATGTCGTGTATTATAACCTATAGAAAATCCTTAAGAAATATATCAGAAAAGAATCCCTTCCCTTCCCTTCCCTTCCCTTCCCTACCCTTTCCTTCCCTTTCCTTTCCTTCCCTTCTCTTTCCTTCTCTTCTCTTTCAAACTTCTTTAACTTAAAATTTGTACTGTTTTTAATTCTTTTGAAAAACATCTACAATAAAAGTTATTTAAAAAGATATATCAGCAAAGCTCAGCTGTTTTTTCAACCAGCTTTGTTTACCAAACTATATATTTAACAACAAAGCCAGAATCTGAGTAACAATTCTTTTTTCTTCTTTTTCTTTAAGGTGTGGGTAGGATCAGTCACTGAAATAACAACAAATGAACTCTTGGCAGAAGATAAAGATTCTTCTCCAGTAGAATTATTGTATTCTGTTTCTCCTCCGAATAATGGCCACTTGGCACTCAAGTCTTTTCCAAACAAGAATATCCTTAATTTTACCCAAGCTCATATTGAAGAAGGACAAGTGGTATTCGTCCATAGAGGTATTTTGCATTGTTGATGGAATTTCATGCTAGAGTTAATTATGTTTTTACTTCTGTTAAAAATAGCCTAGTTAAGAGTCAAACCCAATAGGAGAACCACATATTTTATACTTCTGGGATCTTTAATAAATCAGCTTCATAGAGATAGAATTGAATGGCATTTGTGGTAATTCCATGACTTAGCAAATAACATATTAGCTGCAAGGAGAATCCTTTTATGTTTTATGTTCAGAAAGCAAACTTCATAAAATTTAGGCTTTATGAAAGCAGAGTTAAGGTTTGGATTGGATTTAGGAGGGGAGCAGAAATATAAAAGCATGTAAATAAAGTTTCCATTGCACATCATTGCTTTTATATCTATGACTGGTTTGTGGATGGGATAGGAAGCAAGCAAGCAAGCTATTTTAACAAAAATTCATATTCATTAATCCAGAGAATATTAAATGACTTAATATAGTCTGAAATTTTTCCAGATATGTTCCTACCATGCTCAATAAAACAAATAGATGAAAGTCCATACCAGAAACTCAGGAACAAGACAGATAAACACCAAGATAAGAAATATGCATGAGCATTTTTCTTTCTACTAAAATGCAAATGAAATGAAGTGATTACTGTACAAGTAAGAGCTATGGCTAATACTAGAATATATATTTTCCCTGCACAATATTTGCAGATGCACATACACATAGGCATGCAAGGATAGGTAGCAATTCCAGAAGAATAATTCTGATGAATAAAAAATGCAAGCAGTGAACCACAGTTTGGCAAACTGCGGCCATGCAAATCAAGCCACAATTTCCAACTGCCAGTGTTTTTTTGACATTGTCAATTACTTTTTTGTGGGATCTACCTGACTCCCTGAAACATTGTCTGAATGTAAGAAGCAAATGCAGTCAAATTCAAACACTGGACCACAATCAACTTAATTACTAATCCCAACAAGCAGCCAGTTGTAGGTTTGGCCAAAGCATACAGATACCATAATGTATTGATTGAAAATATTCCTGTTCAACAGGAACAATGTTTATTTTGATCTCCTTTCAGAAATAATTCCTCGACCCAAAATCGGTTATCAGTACAAAAAGACTGCATTGAAGAACTAATCATTCTGATTTAAATAATTTAAATAATCATTCTTGATTTAAATTTAATTAAATGTATTTATTTTGTTGCATGCTAATTGCTACATGTTTTTTTAATTATTATTATTGCTGTTGTTTTATGACTCTGCTTTCCTCTAGGATCAATGTCTGGAGGTTTCAGTTTTCAAGTTACAGATGGCATAAACTTTGCACCTCGTCAGATATTTAGCATCACAGCTCGAAATTTGGTTATTCGCCTTGAAAATAATAATGGATTAGAAATTTTTCCAGGTAAGGCTTTGTATTCTTAATTTATTTGGAATAAACTAAGATAAACAATGAGATGATTGGTAAATATTTAACTTATTCTTTTTGAAAAAGAAAACAACACTGGAAATTCCAAAATGCAATTATGTTCAACTTGATCCTAAGTCAGGATTAGGCAGTGTAGACATACTGCTTACTTTTTAAAATTATGTGAACCTATTTTATGTGGTTTCTGGATTAAAACTGGTAGGAAAATAGACTATTTCAGCAATACAGATGTGCTACTGGTAGAAAAACATGTTTAGCAACTTTAGTGGCAAATTGCAATTTGTGACTCATATTTGACACATGGCTTAATGCTTTTGATCCTCATTTTGACATTTGGTCACAAAAATGCCTTGAGGCATTTTCTTTTATAAGAATGCTCATAGGAAGTGAAAATAATTATATGCAAGCTATATATGACACATTTTAAAAGGCTGAGTCTTGTTCCTTTATGCCAGAGGTCTTCAAACTTGGCAGCTTTAAGACTTGTGGACTTCAGCCATAGCTGGCTGGAGAATTCTGAGAGTTGAAGTCCACAAGTCTTAAAGCTGCCAAGTTTGAAGACCTCTGCTTTATGCCAACGTTTTCCCCAAAATTGACATTCATAATCGAGAACTAAGGAAAACTGGTATTTTTAAAGGATGTTTTAAAACATGAAAACATTGTCATACATAATCTTCTGACCTCTACCTTACAATTTGTTTATTATTGGCTGCTTCAAGCTGGCATGTGTGATTTCCTTCCTTTTAGTCTCATAACATGTTTAAGAGGTTAAATTAAGAGAAAGAGATTGACCCAAAGTCACTGAATAAAAATTTATGATTTAGCTGTCTAAAATGACCAGAACCCTTGAATATTGCTTAATGTCAGTAATGAGCTGGATGAGAGAGGGAACAAGCTCAAATTAAATCCAGATGAGACAGAAGCAATGTTAATAACAAAAACTTGGATTTTGCTGGCTTTATTTCTTGAGCAGTTGGTTCCAACCTATAAAGAAAGGTAGAATTTTAGGATACAATAATAAGAGCTACAACAAGGTTTGACTTTTATCTGTGTGAACCTGCTGTTGGAAGTCATTCAGTGTGTTGAGATACGGATAGGTAGATAGATACACCTCTACCTTACACCAATTGAGAGAAGTTGTGCAAGTCCTGGCCTGATGTCTGGAGGCTGTAAGGATTTGAGTGGGAAGCAACAGGTTGTGATTTAACCCAAGCAAGACAGAATGGCTTCTGATCCAGAAGCCAGTTAAATTTGGAACAAGGCCAACTTTAACTCTTGATGGATTTATCCTCCCTGAAAAAACTCTGGCGTTATAGGAAAATAAGGGAGATGGTTTTGAAAAAAATACTCAAGAACTGTTACCTGGACAAAGAGGGTTGAAACATTCTTTAAGATCCAGGAAACATTTGGAAGCAGTTCAGGCAACATCTCCCTAATTCACTGAGAAGAAAGGGGAGGAACAGCACAAGATTATAGACAATCTCAATAAAATATAGGTCTAATCTGTGGATTTTCTGGTCTGGTCTATCTAAAGGATCTGACAAGTATGCATCTCTTGTTGGAACAGCAAGTGAAGACTGGCCAAATGAGATTTTGACCATTTTCAGCTGGCATGCCCCTTGTGGCCATTTCTAGAGTAGACAACAACAGTCCACTCACAGTCCCATTAATTTATAGTTGGATTACTACAATATGCTATAGATGGGACTGCATTGAACTATTCAAGATGACTATTTAGCATCAATACTATAGGAACTGCACTGACAGCCAATTCATTTCTGGATGCAATTCAAGATGCTATTTTAGCATTTTTCATAACTTTGAGCTAAGTTATATGGCATACTTTTAAACAGAATCCCTCACCCACCTCCAAGAAATATAGCAGAAGAGGACAGAGGGATGCAATTTCTGCAAAAAACTCCCTCTTATGGAATTCCTTCCTTCCACAGATAAAATTGATATATTTACTGCTCACATTTGGAAACTATTATAAACTTATAATAGTTTTGAACAGCATTTGAGACAGAATGAATGTAATGTTACTTATAATATTCCTGTATAATATTTGAGTTCCATTGATTATTGTTATAGTGTTTTATTGCTTCATTGTATGCCACTTAGAGTCAAATTGATCAATGGGCCCTGAAAGTCTGTAAAATAAAGGAATCCAATAATAAATAAATAAATATAGATAGATATAAATAACATGAACTAGACAGCCAATTCTGTTCCTGGCACTGCAACAATTCCTAGCCAGAGACTCAGAAACTCTCTGTTTGGAGAAGTGTGCTATGCCTGTTCCATCAATTCTCCATACAAAAGCAAAACTAACTGACCAGAATTTATAGACAATGCAATAATTTCTGTTTTGTTTTTTAAAAAATTCTTGCCAAATGTCCTTGTTAGAATTTTTATTTTACCTGTCTTTTCTCCAAGCTTGGATGAGTTCCTTGTTGACATTTTTGATCCATTCTATTATTGCTATCTGCTGAGCATACAGTTCAGAACATTTACTTTCTATCCAAATAAATACAAATGTAAATGTTAGCAGCATACATAATTATGCATTATGGCTCATAGGTTTTTGGAACTGCATGTTATTTGATTTTAGATCACATTCGATTTCACCCTTTGTACTTAGTGAAAGAATGTAAGAACATTGCTTAAAAACCCTTCTGTTGATCTAATTCTTTTAAACTCTGGCCTGGTTGATCTTTGTAAAATAACAGTTGGTTTGATCTTTCATAAAGAGCTGCTTCAAAGTGCAGAAACTACATATTATACCACTTCAAATTGTAGGGCACAACCTCTATCAACATGAGGCTTGCATTAGAATAGCATGTTGCATAGCATGTCAATATCTACACTGAGAACGGAGAGGAACAGGCCTATGTTGGAAGAGAATTTTAAGTGCCCCTTAATTCATTAGGAAAACTTCAGGTGCCCATTCTTAATCCATCTCCACCTAATGTCCAAAATACCAAAAATAGTTCCACCTACACCAGAGATGAAAGGGAGACTGGCAGGCTGTTTGATGTTCCCCAGGGCATAAAGTATAAATGAGGGATTTGAATGAAAAGCTTGTGTGTATGTGTATGTATGTATGAATGTATGTACACACACACACACACACATATATATACACCCACACACACACATATACACACTTGTGTATTTGTATGTACTGTATAATATATACATACACACACACACACACACACACACACACACACACACACACCAGGGGTGAAATGTAAAATTTGTTACTACCGGTTCTGTGGGCATGGCTTTTGGGGGGGGGGTAATGTGACTGGGTGGGCGTGGCCAACTTTTTTTTTTTTTTAACTTTTCAAAGCATTTTTTCTAATGCTTTCAAAAGCCTCTGACGATCAGGCAACTCAGCTGGGATCGTCAAAGACTTTTCAAAGCATTTTTTTAACCATCTCTTCGGCCAAGAGGTTGCAGAAAAAAATGCTTTGAAAAGCCTCTGTGATTGCAGCTGAGCCGTGCAATCATCAGAGGCTTTTTTTTTACTTTTAAAAGCATTTTTTCATTGGAAGAGGTTGTAGAAAAAATGCTTTTAAAAGTAAAAAAAAGAAAAAAGCCTCTGATGATCGTGTGGCTCATTTGGGCATTTGGGGGGGGGCGCAGGGATTTTTGCTACCGGTTCTCCGAACCACCCGCCGCCATTGCTACTGGATCAGGCGATCCGGTCCGAACCGGGAGCATTTCACCCCTGACACACACACACACACATATATACAGTGTGTGTGTGTGTGTGTGTGTGTGTGTGTATATATATATATATATATATACACATACACTAGATGTCTGGGTGCAATTTGGTTGAAAATACCTCTCAATGAATGTTCAGAGGATTGCACTGCTTTTAAATGATTCAACTGCTCAAGGGCAGACAGAATTTAAGATTAAAGAAGATCATAAACTGTATTGACAATATTATTATCCTTCTGCACTATTATTATAATTGTTCAGGTTCCAGGAAACCAATTACATCCTACCATCTGAAGGCTGTCACCAATGATGTGGTTGAGGTAGAAAATAGAACAATTGTTTTTACAATTGCAAATTCCCCCAAACTTGGAAGACTGATCCGTATATTTTCTGAAAATAACATACGGGATATTTCAAGTTTTACACAATCTATGGTAAGTGTTCATCTACTTAGGAAACTGGAAGCATGCCTCATTTACAAACATTTCTTCATTGCCTAATCTTTTTTAGAATGATATTTAGGTGGAATATGAAAATGTTGGAGGTATTTCTTTTAACTTTCAAAATAGTCAGTAGTTGAAGACAGTGCTATGAAAAGCCTTACTATGAAGTGGGTTTGGCGGCTACTGTCAATATTGATTAATGCTTGAAAAGCCATCTGAGTGACCTTGAACCAGTCCCTCCCTCTCAGCCTAAATCACCTCATGGGATTGTTGTAGTGGGAAAAATAGGAGGAAGATGTGTTGAATAGGTTTGCCTCCTTAAGTTAGTTGCAAAAATAATAAAGGTGGGATACAAAGAAATCCCACTTAAATTTAGGAAAAGGACTGAAAGATTTAGGAGAAGTAAGCCAACAATTTAGAAATAAGACTTGAATTTGTTGTGAGCCACATTTATAAATAGGAAATGAAGTTTAATGTAATTATGAGACCCATATCAATAAGTCTGTACATAATATTTCTTTCTACTAAATATTCACCAGCAGGCCTGTCCCAGATATTTTTGTCAGATGTAAATGCCTTATTCTCTAATGTGTAAATAGTATATGAATGGGATATCAGGGGTTAATTTATTCTTCAATCTTTAATGTATTCATGACTCACCACTCCCACATATAGCTCCACCCATTGTATATATAAGGAGCCATCTTCACCCTTTTCCTCGCTTCTATCTGTGAATATTCAGTGAATATAGAATGCCTATTGTAAATAAAAGAAAATATATTTAAACCTTTACTTCTTAACATCTTTATTGAGTCTGATCCAGAAAATATTGCAACAAGCTGGTAGCAGAGGATGGTTAATTGACTCAATAAAAACTTAAAAATGTCCAAGAAGGATAGGCCCAACACCAGGGCCTACAGCAAAGAAATGGAAACAGAACAAGAAATAATCAACGAATCCACAAACGCAATTTCAAGAGAATCCGAAGAATACACCACTGAAGATGAAGAAATAATAGATGAAAACGATGACCAGGAGGAAATCGAAATAAAGAATAACGAACTCAGGTCAGAGATATTAAAACTATTAAAAAGCCAGAAAAATGATGAAAGCCTCATCGCGAACCTCCAAGAAATGCTGAAGAACAGCGGAGCAGCGAGAGAGAAAAACATCACTAATGAGAAGCCTAAAGAACCAAAAATTGTGAGTAATATGACTACAGAGAAAGTCATTACGAAGAAGAAGAAATGTGATCCCGCGCGAAATTTTGAATGGCAGCCATCTTGTTTTCAACAGACCTCCAAGATGAGCGAAGCAGAGCCAATCAAAATGCTCAGTTCAAAATTTCTGGCGCGAAAAACGTTATCAGACAACGAAGATGAAAAAGAGGATTCAAACTCCTCGGAAGAGTCAGAATCAGAAAGTGAAGATGACTCAACAAAATCCCAAGTAAAGTCAGCGATGAAAACGCTTTTTGCTGCTTTTGGGCCAAAACTAAAAATTACCAAAAAGATACCGAAGAAGAGAGCGAACAAGCCGATACCTCAAGACCTGCCCGCTCCCATCCTGACTTCGAGAGCGACGACGCCCGAACCTAGAGAGCCTTGTCGATTCCGCCCTACACCAAAGACCGAAGCAAGTGACTACACTTCCAAAAAGAAAAGAAGAGCAACCGCCGTCGTCAGAGCTCCCAAGGCCAAAACAGAGACCGACTCGTCTGAAGAAGAGCAGCGCAAGCGAGCCGCGGTGGAGAGAACCTTCCGTAACGAAGTCAAAGAAGAAATGGACAACGCGCATGCGCGAAACTACGCAGACAACCCGGGAAGACATGAACTGGTGAAAGAGCCACGCAGACCCGTTGCGAGCATCCCCATGCCGTTTTGCGATTTTCTACACTTGCGAGACCACGGACTACCTCAGGTTGTAAGTAATGGACAAAATAATGTGGGAAACTTACCCAGTGACTTCCCAAAACTAAGGGTTGATGGCATTAATTTGCAAGAATGGTATCAACAGCTCCAGGTGGTCTTTATGAAGGAAAACTTACTATTCTTTATCACTAGTCCCCCAAAAAGACCTTGGACTTTAAAAATAGATTGTTTACACCATAAAGCTTTTTACTTAATAATATCTAGTGTGTCTCCTGCAATGTATCATAGCATCAAACCAAATCAGACTGTTTCTGAAATTATCCAATGCATGTTTAATTTGTTTCACAGCGACAGTGTAGCTACCACCACAAGAATGTCTAAGGATTTCTTTTCATCTAGAGTAAAACCAGGGGTTTCCATAAGTGAGCATTTAATATCTTTAAACAAAATAAGAGCTGAACTGCACTTGAGGGGGGAGGTGATTTCAGATCAAACAATGAAAAGTGTTATTATCAACTCACTTGATTCATCATGGGATAGCTTTATGTCACATTTAGACACTATCAATCTAGGATATTTATCCATAGAAAGTCTATCTAACAAACTGATAGCAGAAGACAATTCAAGAAAAAATCGTTCTAGCAATCACACAGAACACAAACCTTTTAGGAAAGTAATTTTCCAAGAAAAATATAATGAAACATACAAATGTCACAATTGTGGATCCAGGGAACACAATAGAAGAGATTGCCCCAAAATTTCAAAGGAAAGACACAGGTCAGAATATAGGAACAAATACAATTATAGACAGTCATCCATAGATAGACATAGATATAGAAGCCCACCAAATTACAGAGAAAATAGAGGGGGCAGAGAAAATTCAAAAGATAGAAAATCTGGTTCACTGAATGGACTAAATAAACAAGACAGCACAAAATTACAACAAAATGAGAACAATAATTGGCTTATTGATTCTGGAGCAACTAATCATACCACCAATAACAAAAATATACTGTCTTCATTTACAGAAGATAAATTTGTAATAAAGGTAGCTAACCAAGAAAAGGTTCAAGTATTAGGCAGAGGGAATGTAACTTTGCCTGGTCTAGGAAAAATAGAGGGGGTATTGTTAATACCTGAAATACCTCATAACATACTAAGTGCCATAAAACTAAGTAGAGATTCTGACATTAATATAGTTTTCTCAAAGGGAAAAGCGACTTTAGAGAAGAATAAAACAAGTATAGGCACTGTAACGATTAAAGGAGGCCTACCTTATTTGATAACAAAGGAAGAATGGTTGCATAACATTGATTCAAATATAGAAGATTGTATTGAAGCAGATGATGAAAATATTAGCAACAGTGACAATGATGAATGTAAAATATCTCATAATCATACAGATACACACGATAAAAAAAAACCAAAAATAGGTAAGCCAATTCATGATGAGTGTGCTCACATCTTGCATAGGAAGTTAGGACATGCCAGTTTTCCTGTAGTACAAAAAATGACTGAACACGCAGAAGGTGTCAAAATAAAAAATTGTGAAAACTATTTGGAATGCTCAGTATGTAAATCCACAAAACTAAAAACTAGTCCTAGGCCAAGAAACTCTACTAGATCAACTAACAAAATTTTTGACTTAGTACACATGGACCTAGTAGGCCCATTAACTCCATCAATCACTTATAGAAAACGCTACTTCCTGACAATAGTGGACGATTATAGCCGTTATGGTTTTGTTTATACGCTAAAACATAAGGATGAAACATTTCAAAAATTTAAGGAATTTTACAAACGCATAGAAACACAACACAATATCAGAATAAAACAAATTATGACAGATAGGGGATGTGAATTCATGTCTAAAGAATTCTCCCAATGGTTAAAGGACAGAGGAATGCTACATTACACGTCTAGTCCATTTTCTGCGTTCCAAAACGGAATTGCAGAGAGGAAAAATTCCACATTACAAACCATGATTAGATGCACATTGGAGGATGCTGGCTTAAGCAAACAATTTTGGTCAGAAGCCCTACATTATTCAAATTACACACAAAATAGAACTTGGTCCAGTATTGTAAACAAAACACCATACGAAGTAATGTATAATAGGAAGCCAAAATTAGCACACATGCACATATTTGGAGTCACTGCAGACGTACACATACCCAAACAGTTGAGAAGAAAGGGAGAAAATGTATCCAGAAGACTCAAATTCATGGGATATGAAACTGGCACCAAAGGATACAGATTCATTGATAATAATAACAAATTTATAGTTTCCAGAACAGCTGTGTTCCATGAACAAGCCAACTGGTCTAAATTACATCTTAATGAAATATTTCCAAATAAATGTAAAGAAACAAAACCTCATGAGGAAGGGACCATAGAAAAACAAAATATCAACAAACACAAAAGCAAAACTAAAACTTGGACAAATAGCCAACACAAAATAAGAACAGACACACTGACCAAAAAGGAAGCAAGATATTTACACGATAACAATAGCCAACCTGAAAGAGTCATTAGGAACAACAGGAATCAAATGCCAAACAAATACAGGGATTACATAATGCATATGGATGGTGAATCAATAACACCTAACTCATATGAAGAAGTGTTAAAACTTCCTTGTGAGGAAAAAGAAAAATGGGAACTAGCTATGAAGAAAGAGATGGAAAGTTTACAAGGATTAAATGTATTTACACCTGCAATTGCACCTAAAGATAAAACAATTATTGGTACCAGGTGGATATATAAAATTAAGAATTTAGAAGGAGGCAATACTCTATACAAAGCTAGATTAGTTGCACAAGGATATGCACAGAAATATCCGGAGGACTATACTGATACGTATTCCCCCACAGTAAGAACAGAGAGTGTCAAAACAGCTCTAGTGGTAGCATCAGCACTCAACCTTGATGTATTTCAATATGACATACAGACTGCTTATCTACACGCGAAACTAGATAAGGAAATATATGTAAGAGCACCTCACAGTCAATACACCAACAAAAATGAAATTTGGTTGTTGAATAAGAGTTTGTACGGATTAAAACAATCTGGTAAAAGATGGTATGATTGTTTGGTAAAAGTACTTAAGACTATGGATTTCAATGCTACCACTGCTGATAACTGTTTTTTTGTCAAAAAGGGTGACAACTACGTTGAGTTTGTATTGATTTACGTAGATGATATTTTGTATATAGGAAAACACAAAGAGAGAAGAGAAACTTTTGTAAATAAGTTAAATGAACATTTCTCGTTGAAATCCCTAGGTAAAGTGAACAAATATCTTGGTGTCCAAATTAATAAGACTAGAAGGGGATTCAAACTTACTCAAAGAGATAAAATTATAGAACTTTTGAATAAATGTAATCTTATCAATGCCAAACCCTGTGATACTCCTATGCAAACTGATTTTCTTAGAAATACTGATGAATCTTCCCCTGAATTCAAGGATAACACATTTTATAGATCAATCATAGGTTCACTTCTCTATATATCTAATTGGACTAGGCCAGATATCGCCTTACCACTCAACTTATTATCCAGACACGTCAGCAAACCAACAATGTATCACTGGGAAGCTGTTAAAAGAATTTTAAGATATCTGAAAAGTACTCTAGATTTCTGCTTAGTATTAGAACCTAGTGGTAACAAAGAACCAAAGCTTGTATGTTACGCAGATGCAGATTGGGCTGGAGACACGTCATGCAGAAAAAGTACATCTGGATATATTTTTCTCTTAAATGACTGTCCAGTTTACTGGTACACTGGTAAACAAGAACTAGTAGCCACTTCAACGACAGAAGCAGAATATGTTTGTTTATCCAAGGCTGCAAATAACCTTGTATGGTTTAACGATTTAATTTCAGATGTTTGGAAAAAACCTGCTTTGCCTTTTGTCATGCATGAAGACAATAAAGCAGCTATTGAAATATCTAGATCTGATGCCATTGGACAAAGGTCCAGACATATAGATATAAAATTTAAACATGTGAGACAGTTGTCTCAGGATGGATTTATTAAGGCAATACACTGTGATACTTCAGAACAATTAGCTGACATATTAACAAAGCCCTTACCTTCTAAACAGCACAAATATCTGACTTCTAAACTGCATATTTTATATTGTCCTGAATCTGAATGTAATTGGTGTTGTATAACGAATCGGCATTTAGAGGGGGATTTGTCAGATGTAAATGCCTTATTCTCTAATGTGTAAATAGTATATGAATGGGATATCAGGGGTTAATTTATTCTTCAATCTTTAATGTATTCATGACTCACCACTCCCACATATAGCTCCACCCATTGTATATATAAGGAGCCATCTTCACCCTTTTCCTCGCTTCTATCTGTGAATATTCAGTGAATATAGAATGCCTATTGTAAATAAAAGAAAATATATTTAAACCTTTACTTCTTAACATCTTTATTGAGTCTGATCCAGAAAATATTGCAACAATTTTTATAGCATTTATATACCGCTTCAATCTGAGCAGTGTGGTGGCCTAGAGGTGAAATCTCACCTCACAGTCTGGAGGCTGTGAGTTCGATCCTAGGTAGCAGCAGATATTTCTCTCTCTGGGTGCAGTCACCCTGTCTCCAACCCAATGCAAGGAATTACAGGGTCATTAAAATATATATCTCTATCGCTATTTCTCTATCTCTATCATCTCTGTCAACTCGCGAAGCATTCCTGATCTGATCGTGCTGACATGAAGCTCCTAATAAATAACTGGATTTCTTTTGAAGCTTGGCTTGAGCCTCATGATTTAATTAGGGCATTGGTCAGAACCCTGACAATCTCTGTCTGTGTTTGTCTGTCTGTCTGTCTGTCTGTCTGTCTGTCTGTCTATCTATCTATCTATCTATCTATCTATCTATCTATCTATCTATCTATCTATCTATCTATCTGTTTGCAGCCTAGATATAAAGCCAATGTTGTCGATCCAAGAACTGCTGGAAAAGAAGATTTTTTTTGGCAATAATAAAAATGACAACAATAATAATATTGTTATTATTGCCAAATCATCCCAATTATTCCCCGAAGACGCAATGAAATAACTGCTTTCCACATCCAAGTTTACATTCTCTAAAACTCAAAGACATTCATTCTCAGATTTTTGCCCTCTCTAACCATAATCATAATTGGCAAATCTGTTTTTATTGTGATTGTTTAAGGAAATTTTGAATTAATCTCTGAGCTCTGTAAGCACACATCACTTAGATTAAATCTGTTTCAAGGTAATTATGATTGCAATCTTAAAACTATCCACAAAATTAAGGTGTGTATGGTTTTGGAGTACCTACAACACTTGTACAGGTTTACAGATTTTAACACCAAGTTTTGATTAAGATATGAAACATTCATTCTTACTAAACAAAAGCTTTAAATAAAAATGTATTTGTAACTGTTTTCACTGCCAGCAAATTCAGCATTTTTTCCTCTGTACAGGTGGATAAAGGATTGATCATCTACGAGCATTCAGACAAACAATCAGTTGATTGGAGCACACAAGATTATTTTACATTTACGGTCTCCTCTCCACCAGCTGCTCTGGGACCGCAGGTGTTCCATATTAATATATCCTATGAAATTAGAGCACATAATCAGAGCAGTCAGCTACTGGCCAACACAGGTAAGTTATGTGGAATCACATATTATCTGATCTTCTTTGCAAAAACTCAGGGTAGGAGAGATCTTCTTTGCAGAAACTTAATGGAATTATCTCAAAATCGTATACTTTGGAGAAACCTCATCAGCATTATAGACAACTTCCATATTTTGGTCTGAAAAAGTCATATTATTTGTACTTTCTGTGTTCTTTTTCCTGGATTTTATATAAAAAGGAGCTGTATAAATTGAATAGGATGCAGAATAAACATCAAAGTAATATATGGCTTACTGATTCAACTTCTAAACAGAAAGACATGCATATTAATAAGGATACTATCCTTCTAGTAGGCCGAATAGGGTAAAACATTGAATTATGCTAAAGCACATTCAGACTGTACATAGGAGACTAGGAGGATAATAAACTTAGCTTGTCTACCCATCTTCTAAGATGATAAGGAGCAGTGGTGGTATTCAGCCGGTTTTATCCAGTTCAGGCGAACCGGTAGCGGTGAGAGGCTCCGCCCACCTGCCTGGATGTCAGTCACATCCCGTTTTTGATGCTCTGTGCATGCGTGGAAGATCCTGCGCCTGCACGGAAAGTCTTGCGCATGCACGGAAGGTCCTGCACATGCACAGAAGGTCCTGCGCACACTTGCACTCACATTTGAGGTAGCTCAGCAGACTAAAAGCATTGTGATTAACACCAGCTGTCTGCAATTACTGTAAGTTCGAATCTCACCAGGCTCAAGGTTGACTCAGCCTTCCATCCTTTCTAAGGTAGGTAAAATGAGGACCCAGTTTGTGGGGGCAATAAGCTGACTTTGTATAAATATACAAAAAGTATGAAGGCTATTGCTTAACGTATTGTAAGCCGCCCTGAGTCTCCGGAGAAGGGCGGGATATAAATCAAATTGAAGAGCCTGTAGTACAGTGGACTAAAGCACTGTTATTAACATCTGCTGCTTGCAATTACTGCAAGTTCAAATCTCACCAGGCTCAAGGTTGACTCAGCCTTCCATCCTTTCAAAGGTAGGTGAAATGAGGACCCAGATTGTGGGGGCAATAAACTGACTTTGTATAAATATACAAAAGTATGAAGGCTATTGCTTAACCCATTGTAAGCCGCCCTGAGTCTCCGGAGAAGGGCGGCATAAATTAAAGCAAAAAAAAAATTGCGAACCAGTAGCGAAGGTAAGTGAATACTACTGCTGATAAGGAGCTGTTCTCTTATATCTCCAAAGTATTCATCCTTAACCGCAACTTTAATTCTGTCTCAAAATCTCAAAAGTTAAGAGGAGGGCTCACATTTTTCTGCATATCCTCTTCAACTCTTTTTTTTCCAGCATGAATTAAACCACCTGGAAGAGTTAGAAACTCTAATCTGGAAAGTATTAGTTTAGGCAAGTAACAGAAATCTGGTTTTAAAGGATGACATCCTTGTTTCATTGTGCATGGCAGAGTTTGAAACAAAACATGTACATTTTACTGTGATCTCTAATCCTTATAATAAAGTTGATGGACAGGTCAAAAAGGTTAATAGTATTTTCTTGGAAGAGTTATGGATTATCATTGGAGACAGACTGAGAGAGTGACTCTACCCATACAGTCACCAGCATTGGGCTCAACTCAATGGCACTTAAATAATGCTAGTCTTTATAATTGTACATAAGGGAACCATAAAACATTTGTTGAGTTATGTTTTTAATGTTTTTTTCTATACTAGATCTAAAAGAAAAGAAAGAATAAAATGTAATTTCCCAAAGATATAAACAATTTGATCTGTTTCACTTGAGTTCCATTTATATACCACATATGTTTCTTTCTGAATTTTTTTTAAACAATATTGCTAGGCTTCCCTATCATTCAGACTCTGGGCAGGATAAAAGTAAAATAATAATATATTCAACTTTGATGGTCACTTAAATTGAAGCTTCAGGGCAGAAGCTTGCTGGAACTTGCTTCCTTGAGATCTCTCAAATCTCTGGAATTAATGTCTCTTGAACTATTTTGGTAAATGGTGTTCTCTTGTGTTTTCTGCTTCGGCTTCCCTCACTGTAGAAATTTTGTTACCAGGTTAGAGAACATGTACTTGCTTCAATATGTCCCTTACTATCATAAAACTAAATGGTCTGCAGCTTATGAGGTAATTTAAAGGCATGATGTTCTAATTAGAAAGCTACTATGCCATTTATAAAAAAATGAAGTAGAGTGGAAGGCAATACACCATTTGGCCCAATCCCTTTGGAGATTGGGATCTGATTGAATAGTATGCATAGATGTTCCATCCAAATTGGCTTGAGGTACTTTCATGCAGTATACTAATTAATTAATAACAACCCATTGAAGACTACCTGATTTTTTTCATAGCTTTTTTAATAGACAGAATTCAAACTGATTTTAACTCCACAAATAACTATGCAAATTGCCTCTTGCAGGCTACTTAATCAGAAAGGGATTGATATATTCTTGAGCTCCGACATTCCACTGCCAAAACACTTATTCCCTCTATCCTGTTTTTTTTTCTAAAGAGGCTCCTTAGATAGTTTAATTTGCAGTATTTGGTAACTCGATACAGTGTGGAGGCCAGTTTTCTCATCTTTCAGTTCTTTCCGACCCAATGGGATACAGTATTGAAAAGAAATTTATGTTAAAAGAATTCAGAACACTGTCCATCTATGATGAGGATAAACTCTCTCAAAACTGAATGGAATATAGCCAAATTTGGTACAAGGCCAAAAGCTGGAAAAGAAAGATTGAGACTGAAAATGGGCTGGACCCTGCAAGGGAATTTGCAGAAAACAGACAAACCAGGGGTGAAATCTACTTACCTTCCTTACCGGTTCGGAAGTGCAAGCGCCGTGTGCGCACTCGCTTTGCTTGCACATGTATGCGTGCATCACGTGCATGTGCAGACCTGCGCATGCGCAAAACCTGTGCATGCACAGAAGGTAAAAACCACATTACTTACTGGTTAAAACCAGGAAGTAATGACAGCTAGGCGGGTGGGTGGAGCTTCACTCTGCCATCGCTACCGGATCGCTGAACCAACAGCCAAGATCGCTACCGAACTGGGTGATCCGGCCCGATCCGGGAGCATTTCACCCCTGAAACAAACCCTAGGACAAAGTTTCCAAGGCATTTTATGGGAGGGATTGGAGAGTTACAGCTCAGAAGGATGGTGACTCTTCTATTCTAAATGTCCCTCTTCCTCTTCTCCTTCTCATTTACTTAACCCAAAATAGAGCTCGTATTAAGAATTCCTGAAGCCACGTCCTACATGCATTTCCTATCTTTTTTTGTAGAATGGAACTATGATAGCTTATTCCTGTCTCCTGAAATGTGCATTACTTGGTCTGCATGGGTGAAAAAGATTGCCAGTTCTGGAACCAACTCAGCTTTGTATATTTTAAATAGTCCAACTGGCACTGAAATGCCACCATTTGCATTTCCATTTTCATTTACCTAATTTGCTTTTCTACTGCAATGGGAAGGAAAAGGGCTGCTTATAATTGTAAGATCTGCCTACCTGTCTTTCCATGTGCTCCTTTCACATTTGATTCCTCTGTGCCAGTTGCAAAACATAGCAAAACATTTTTCTTCTATTCAAATGGTAATTTTCCAACATTTGTCAGAACTAATTCTGCTCTTTCTCAGAAAAAAAATTGCATTGTAATATTTTCTGCCCACTGGAATTACTCACACAAGTAACCAGTGGATGGCCTTTCCCTTAGAATTCCAGTTAGATTGCTTGATGTCTCAACACCATATTATGTTTAAGATTCACTCTCCAATTTTCTATTGAAAGGTTTTTTTTTTCTTTTGTAGGTGCTGTCGTCCAGGAAGGTGGCAAAGTTTTAATTGACAAAACTAAGCTGGATAGCTCAAACCTACTGTCTAAATTACCCCAGACACAACGTTCTTCATTTGAAGTGTGGTATGAAGTCATAGCATTGCCTCAACATGGCAGAATTATTGTGGGAGAACGAAATATTACTAGAGACAAACCCCATTTCTCCCAGTATATCATTAACAAATTTGGAATTACCTATTTTCACGATGACTCTGAATCACTCACCGATCACTTTATCTTTGTTGTGTGGCTAAATGAGAAAAGCAAGTCTACCGTGAAACCCAATATTGATGTTTTAGAAGAGGCATTTAATATTACTGTTGTACCAGTGAATGACCAGGTTCCAAAACTAAAGTCAAAACTGCTATGTTTGAATGTTTTGCAAGGAGATCGAACAGTTCTAGGACAAGATAACCTAAACGTTGAAGATTTGGATAACTCACCAGAAGAGATTAAATATACTGTTATAACTGATCCCCAAAATGGACATTTAGCACTGTGGACTCGTTTGAATGAGTCTATCAAAAATTTCACACAAGCTGATATTAATGATGGCAGCGTTTGGTTTGTACAAGATGGGAGCCCTTTCTCAGGGGTTTTCTATTTTAGTGTGACCGATGGGCAGCACCGTCCACAGTATAAACTCTTTCAGCTTGATGTGATACCGGTGTCCATCACATTGATTAACTTCACAGAAGTGGTTCTTCTCCAGGGACAGGACAGAGTTGCTATTACAAATGTCCATCTTTCGGCCACAACAAATGGGAAGAACCCTGAAATCAGGTTTGAAGTCACAAAGCCTTTTAGATATGGGAGTCTTCTGATTGAGAATGAACAGGTGACCTCATTTCACCAAAGAGATTTATATGCAGAAAAATTGTTGTACTGTATGGCAGACTTCACTGCTTTTGGTGATACGTTAGAATTTACAGTGTTCACAAGAGACAGTAATCTAACAGGACAAGTTCTGAAGCTCTTAGTACAACCTCTTTTGCAAATGGCCCTTAATGTGACCATTCCCAACAGGATGTCTTACCAGCTCAATGCAAGTTATTTGGATGCTACACAGTTAGCCAACCTGACAAAAAGCAACCCCCAGTTTGAAGTCATAATGTCACCAGTTTACGGAAGTCTTTCAAGGAAGTCGTTGAGTAACGCTGAAAGCAAGAATCTGGTTTTCTTCACAAAAAGGGACATTGACATGGGTGTCATTTTCCTTGAAACCAGTGCTAATATGACAAATACCGATGTATTAAATGATTCCTTTTCCTTTATACTTAAAGCAGACAATGTTCAGCCTGCCGTTGGTGAGTTCCACTTTGTCATAGTGCAACAGGATTCTTCACCGGTTCAGGTGTTTACTCCAGAAGTGCCTTTTTTAACTACTGTTGACATTTTAGAAACTTACATTACAGAAAATGAACATCTGGTTATTCCAAAGCATGGTACGCACACAGATGTACCAGCACAGACTTTCAGGCCTGACCAAATCCATTGGGAGCATCAGAAAGATAGACAGTATGATGAAGATAATACTGTTTGGTCTGTGACCACAATAAATACACAGACTGAAAGCACCTGGCTTCAGACATTGAGCAGCAGGAGCTGGTTGATAATCATCGTACCCCTTTCTTCTGTGACTGCTTTATTCATTATAATTGCCATTGTTCTTTGTATCTTCCTAATATGCCATAGATCAAAGAAGGCAAAACCTTTTATTTTAGAACAGCCACCAGTAATTCTCAACAGTTCAAGCTTTTCCACAGAGAGGAGCTTAACAATACCTACTGTCACAGTGACACCTCTCTTAAAAAGCACAGACAAAACATCCGTTTTACCATTCATGTCCCTCCAGCGGGAACAGTCTTATCCAATGCCAGCTACTCCAGATCCAGCAGTAAGTTTTCTGCAAAGCACCTGGTCCAGCCTTGACCCAGAAATTATTCAGCACTGTCGAAAAACTCACCCAACATTGAAATGCAATCAATACTGGGTATAATATACCATTGAAATCAGTAAAGAATGTTCAACCTTGTACTGCGCCTATTTAATTCTTTAGTTGTTGTATAATTAATTAATTATCCATAAGTCAATCCACTTTTGAAATCTTGCCAAGAAAATCTTAGGGGCTTGTCCAGGCAGTTGCCAGGAATCGACTCCTGATTTGGAGACAGAAAAAAAGGAGAGTAGAGGAGAAGGGAGGGGAGAGGAGAGGAGAGAAGAGGAAAGGAAAGGAAAGGACAATAGTAAACTTCGTAGAATCACAATCAAATAATCTGGGTCCAATTATGTTGGTCACAGTGGAAGTAAGAGATGTGAATGAAATATACAACAGGTGCCCCATTAGGTGGACTTCTGTAAAGTTGGCAAATTGAAAAAAAAAAATTTAAATTTTTTTATTTTTTATTTTTTTAATTTTCACACAAAATACACACAAACATACACATACAAGTACACATAAAACAATACACAACATTAAAAACATTTAAATGTAATATCTAATTTCTTACGACATCGGTGACCTATATTCCTCTATAAATACTTCTTCCTCTCGCCTCATATAACGATATTATTTTATTAAAATTTAGTTGTTCGTTGTTATGTCTCCTTTGGTACGGAATTTTGTTTCACTCTGTTAGGATCCTCTTTTGTTTGGTGTTCCTTGTCTCCAACCATTGATACCACTTTTGCCAAACCAGATAGTAGTCAGATTCTTCCTTTCTTTGGTGAGTTTGTCCATCTCGGCACATTCCATGACTTTGGATATTATTTTATCTTGTGTTGGGATTTCTTCAAGTTTCCAATTTTGTGCATAAATGATCTTGTCGCAGTCAGAATATGTGTAATTAAATATATTGTTTCTTTTTCATAGTTACGTGTAAATATACCTAATAAGTATGTTTCCGGTTTTAATGGTAGTTGGCAAATTGAAAATTTTAATGTGATAGAATGCTAAAATTAATGGTAAATTTGAGTCACAGTGGTGCAATGATTAGAATGCAATATTGCAGGCTAACTCTGCCCACTGCCAGAGTTCAATCCTGATCAGCTCAGCCTTCTATCCTTCCGAGGTTGGTAAAATGAGGAGCCAGATTGTTGGGGGCAATGTGCTGACTCTGTAAACCGCTTAGAGAGTGTTGTAAAGCACTGTGAAGTGATATATAAATCTAAGTGCTATTGCTATTGCTGTTAATCACTATGCCACTGGAGATTAATACTGAAAGGTAGTTGTAAAAAGAAAGTAAGTTGTAGAGAGAAGAGTTTGGTTCCATATGGGACTAGGGAAACTTGTTTTATTCATTTTTTTTTCAACCAGAATGCTCTTGACCAAATTTTATTTACATCATAAATAAAAAGTAGGTAGCAAACAACACTAGCATCATACATACGCAAATGTATATTTCCATTATTCTATATGGTTGGAAATCAGTAAACTTAAAACATGAAATATTTTGATTCTGTTGATTCAAAACACCACACATTTCTATTTTGTACAGAATTTCTATATGGAAATACCATTATATATTTAGGAATTTAAATCATAATAAGGATTTTCCATAAAGCAGAAAGTCAATTAAGCTTACAGTTTGTGGTATAACATAGGGAAAGAAGAACAGAAGCAGTTCCTTTCTGGGTCAGACTTGGTCTGTTTAGTCCAGCAGATTGTTCTTATAGTGGCCAACCAGTTGCATGAGGAAGGTCACTGGTCTCCTAGCAGGTGGCCTTCAGAGGCAGCCCCATTGCCATCAAAGCTAATAGCCATTGTTCTCCATAATTTCCATAAATTGGCCCAACCCATTTTTTGAAGCTGACCAAGCTGGTAGCCAGCACCACGTTTCATGGTTTGCTTGTATGTTTTAAACCTCAGCTTTTATTCAGTGATTAATAGCTCAAAACTCTATTTTTACAGTCTTTATTTGTCTCCTTTAGTCCTAAAGTAAAATTTAATACCAGTAATGTATGTTCTCTCACAATCTCAGTTTGCTTTTTTTTTTTTAAATGTTCTTTTTCTAAGACAAAGGGCAAACTGCTAATTTTACCAGGTCCTTTGGACCCTTCTATAATTTGAGGATAAATGTTAAGGCAAGCTTCTGCTACTTTGATTTGTATTTAACTGTGAGCAGAAAACCCTCTGTAGTCTACTGAGTAATTAATATTGATTGCAAAGCTCTTGGTAAATTCTGTTCAAAATTCTGGTCCCAATTTTGGCCATAGACATGTGACTGATACTAGTCCAATCCACAGAAACATACCTTCTCATAACAAAACACCAGAACATGTAAAAAGGCAGAGAGTTTTTGGATACCCAATTGTTTGAAGTTCTGAGTTCAGAGATTAATAGAGATTTGCAGTTGAAAAATCATTGTTCAAAGATGCAGGAAACTCAATCCTTGCATTAGTGATTTTGCAAAGAAGAGCCACACAAAAAAAAAAATGTAGAGAACAACTCTGGGCTGTGAAATGACAGCAATTTACTCTGTGCTGTTGGGACAATCTAACCAAAGTTAAGCACATTTTGATTCTATTGATTTCAAGAGGACAACATGAAATAGATGAGAAGAATGGAAAGGCAAAATTGCTTTACTTTGAGTTCATACTGTAGCTCCTTCCCTTTCTAACCCGGCATGGGAAGTGTCTGTGATGACATTTTTAAAAGCAAATTATATACCTGAAAAATAGTGCTAATTATTTTATAAAAGACTTTCTATAATGAACAACTTGAATTTCATTCTGTTGTAAATAAAATCTAATTCCAAGTTTTATATTTTTAAGATTGCATATTCTGAATTCAGTTTGTTCACTCATATGTATATGTAGTTTTAGTTACTTTTTGTACAAAGGGAGAAATATTTGTATTATTGGGCCAATAAGTACCATGAAGCAATTATTGCCAGATATCCATAGCTCATAAGTATCCTTTTTCATGTTTGTGGAGACTGTTAATTCATTTTTGCATTTTATTCCTGAATCAGTGAAGAATAATAAGGAGTTTACATTGGATTGTCCTCTTAGGTATTGGCAAATTCTAAAATACAATTAAAGATCACTTCTTTGTGTGCCATGCACCAGAGGTGGGTTTCAGCAGGTTCCAACCAGTTCTGGGGAACCGGTAGCGGAAATTTTGAGTAGTTCAGAGAACTGGTAGTAAAAATTCTGACTGGCCCCGTCCCCATCTATTCTCTGCCTCCCAAGTCCCAACTGATCGGGAGGAAATGGGGATTTTGAAGTAACCTTCCACTGGAGTCGGGAGGGAATGGAGATTTTACAGTATCCTTCCCCTGCCACGCCCACCAAGCCACGCCCACCACGCAATGCCATGCCCACCAAGCCACGCCCACAGAACCGGTAGTAAAAAAAATTGAAACCCACCACTGCCATGCACCAGTAAATTCAAAATGTTAAGCTTCCTTTGAGGAAAGATGTTCTGTTGAATTCAGTGGCTTGTATGTGTAAGTAAATTTGCATTGGATTGGACTGCAAATCAAAGTTTGGGTTTGTAGTAGTTAAAGAAGTGGTCTAGAAACCAGGATAATTTTAGTCTTGCCTTAGGTATGAAAACTTCGGCCAGTCACTCTTTCTTAGCCCAACCCATCTCACAGGGTTGTTGTTGTTGTGGGGAAATAGGAGGAGGAAGGAATATTAGATATGTTTGCCATCTTGAATTATTTGTAAAGTAATAAAGGAGAGATTTTAAAATACCTTTAAAAGGTGTAGTATAGCTTTGCATCTGAAAATGCATAATTTTTCCTTGAAAAATTTCACCGGTATTCCTAATTTTTCTTAATTGAAATCTAGTCAATGCATATTATAAACATACTAGTCCGTACAAAGAAAATAGATTCATCAAAATTCATTTCAGGATGAAAATGAAACGTACAGTTCTTGCACAACTTGCCAAGATAGTTCAGTTACCTCACGGAGCTTATTTCACTGTACTCTGTGGAATTCTTGGCTATAAAATGATTTGTGAGGAATATTTTGTGGTGAAAGCTTTTTTTCCTTTTGTATTATTCATTTCCCCATGTCATGAACTTCTTCCTTGTTCTTTTACTGCATTTCGCTATAGCTACTTAGGGGGAAAAAATAGTAACTGCTTATTAAGCTGTTTGCTTGTAAGTTGAAAGGCTTAAAAGGGGTATTATTTCCTTGACTTCATACTGTCTGAGAGATTTAAGTCTCATGCAAATCAGGAAAAAAAAGGAGATGTGAATGTTTTTATTATTGGAGTAGAGCTTAATAGATGTTTTCAAGAGATTTATGAAAGAAACACAGTACTAAAAGAAATGTGCAGAATTATATACTTAAATATTCATCATTTATACCACACCCCAGGTAGTCCTCAATGTACGACCACAGTTGAGACCGGAATTTTCATCCCAAGTTATCATTGTCATAAATCAAATCAGAATCAATTTTATAATAATTCTTATGGTGGTCGTTAAATGAATGACACAGTCATTAAACAAATTCAGCTTCCCCAATGGATGTTTTTTGTTGGAAATGACAAAAGAAAGATTGCAAATCATGGTCATGTGAATATAGGATGCTGCAACCAGACAAAAATATGAACCCGAATTGTGATCATGTGACCACAAGGTGGTGCAAATGGTTGATTGATATGACTGCAGGAGTGATGCAACTAAGTGCCAGTAGAGGTCATGTGTCATTTTTTCTGAAGCCTTTGTTACTTTGAGCCATTGTTAATCATTCAATAGTAAATTGAGGACTACCTGTACTCTAAAGTGCTTTGCATATATTTTGAGTCTGCATTCACTTAGATTTATGTATTTTACAAATATGTAATTACTGCATAAAACAATGCAGTCACGATTGCTAGACTTCCTGTTGGAGAAGGAGTGACAAAACCTGGAGGACGAATCAGTCTAGAATCAGCCCATGTAATCACAAACGGACCAAGTCAAATCCCCCTTGAATTCCATTGAACCTTATCTAATACCAAGATAATGCTGATCATTTGTTGAGTAGGTTACTGTGCATAGGTATGATTAGTAATAAACCATTTAACTGGAACGT